GTCTTGGTGTGCAGTGTAGGTATTGATTTGGGTGTGAGTTTTTGCTCCGTCAAAAACTATATTCGCACCCCATAGCCACAGCTTCAGCACACCCTTCACAAGCGCACCGACAGCCAGCCAACTTAGAGAAATGTCTTATACTCTCTTGGCAAGGTGATCCAAACAACGAATTTCTATGATTTTAACTTGTACTTTTTTTCTAAACATTTGTATTATTCCATGAAGTATCAACGGCAGCAACATCAATAACAACAGTGGATTATATAGAAAAAAAGCAGAAAAGGAGAAAAAGAGAAATGCATGGTACTCATGACGAAGCATTTTTTTTTCTATTACAGCTCGTCTATTCCGAGTAGAAAAGGTAACGTCGACGTGCTCATTATAAACATTACAACATTTGCTTGTCCTTACACAGCAACATACTTCGTCGTTTTATTCAAACAGCTGTAACTAATCTATAGAAGATAAAAATGGTTAAAGTACACGTTGTTTATTGTGGTGGATGAGGTTATGGGAGCAAGTTTCAGACGTTCAGCGATGAACTGAAGAAAGCTTGCTCCAATACAGATCTCGATATTGTAAGTTATGATTTATTTATGTTACATTGAATTTGATTGAAAAATCAATCAATTTTAGACTGGCGAAGCAACACCTACAGTCACCGGATTTTTCGAGGTTACCGTTAAGGGAAAATTAGTCCATTCAAAAAAAGTAATTAAACATTTTCGAATGAAAATTAATTAATTAATCAATTTATAGAATGGGGATGAATTTCCAGATACCAAAGAGAAGATGGATAAGATCGTGAAAGCGATCCAAGCAGCTAAATAATTGAATCAAACTAATTTTTTGCATAAATAATGATGAGCAATCTTGGTATGGCAAAACTTGCAAACAAAAAGAAAAAGATCGTACATTATTTTTGCTTTTTGTTTGTTTTAGAATGTCATCTTGAGATGATTGATTGAAACTGTCGACTACCAAAAATGATGTGCTGTGTGATCAAATTTCCAAAGTCCTCAACACTGATTTAGTCAATAATTATGATAGTTACATTTCAATTGTCTATGCAATTTTACATTCAAATTTAGGACTCGAGTTTTGTTTATATTGTTTCAATTTTTCATATATATATACATATTATATAAGCTCAAGAAAATAAAAGATCGCTGTGATAAACTAATCTAACATCAAAAGCGTGTGAGCGTGGGTGTGGGTGGATGTGACGTGTGAGGATTGGTGTGGGTGGATGTGAGAGTGCAGGGTGTGGGTGTGTGGTAGATCGGGGTGCGGGTGTGGATGGGTGTTGGTGCTGGTGTTGGTGTGGCAGCGGGTATGGGTTTGGGTATGTGGTAGATGTGGGGTGTGGGCATGGATGCGTGTGAGGATGTGGATGTGAGGGTATGGATGTGAGTGAGGATGTTTGGCGTGTCCGGGGTGCGGGTATCTGTGAGTGTAAGAGTGTGAGAACTGGGTGCGTGTGGGTAGGTATTGGTGTCAGTGCGACTGTGGGTGTGGGTGTGTGGCGGATATGGGCTTCGGGTATGGGTGTGGTTCGGTGTGAGTGTGTGGGGGGTGGGTGGGGGTGCCTGGCGACGGTGGGATATTGAGGGTGTTGATGTGCGACGGATGTGGATGTGGGTAGTGTGTAGGCATGGGTTTGGGTGTGTGACGGGTGTATGGTGTGGTTGTGCCTGTGGTTGTGGGTGAGTGTGAGTGTGGGTGTTGGTATGTGATGTGGGGTGGGTGCGGGTGCGGGGTGGGTGTCGGTGTGTGTTAGCGTCCATGATGAATCACTTGGACGCTAAACGATGATTAAGATGCGCCTTCTAGTCTAATTGGCTTAGGACAACTGCCCGGATAGCAGGAGGTGTGGGTTCGATTCCCACGAAGGTCATTTTTTTCATCGTTCTGTCACATAACATCAGTGACACTGCTTGTCTCTTTCGTTCTATACATATGAGAGCTAACANTTTCAACAACAACATGATCTGCACATGACGAGGAAAGGCATTGTTAGAATGATTCAGGGAACTCACTTAGGACTAGAATATCTTCGATGTCATAATTTAAACTGGAGCCATTAGAGGGAACTGATGCACACCAGGAGGAACACTTCATCACCAGCGAGCTGTTGTGAACATATCTTTTGGATCTATGAAGGCCTTTTATACTGTGTTCCTGTAGCAACCAACTTTCCCTAAAGACGTTAAGGTTTGCCTGTTCGAATATTAATCTTCCATCTATACTCTCCGACCACGCTACAAAGTATCTGTCCCAGTAAAGACGACAGCGATCCTCTAACGTTTTCTCATTGAACACGAAGGCAAAGAAGTTATCACTCCATTGACTGCAGCGCAAAACTTTTTTCAAACAAAAAAAATAAAAATGATTTAGATCCTGCTGTTGTAGGACTGTAAAAAGGGGATACAATGGGAACAACCAAACAAATAAGGGAAAAACGTATGACAGGAACAGTGCTCTCCTAAGCAATGGAGATGTAAACCCTCCTAACCGAAACAAATTTATCATGGCTATACTCTGCCGCACCTTTGTCTTCATACATTCAATCAACAATCCAAAACCCAACTTCGGCGTTATGTTGTAACCAAGATATTTGAAATTTTTAACGTAATTGATCTCTCTATTACCACATTTAAGCTCAATTTTCGGATAGCCAATAGCTCTAGCTGAGAACAATGCCTTAGTTTTCTCGTAGTTGATCGGTTGAACAGTTAGGCAACAATAGAACTCCAAACGTTCGAAGAAAATTTGCAGTTTCCGTTCCATATCTAAACACTGGGAGGTGAATGTCATTCCGATAGAGCCTGCAACTACCGCTGCTAAATCATCAGCGAATAAGAAGCTTGAGCAAATTCCTAAAAAGCAATCCATGTCACAGTGATAAGTGATGAAGAGAGTTGGTGTAAATATACTACCTTGAGGCCCTCCTTTAAGTAACGAAAACCATCTAGATTTTTTTCCTCCGATTTCGATATACGCTTTACGACCTTTCAACCACGTCTCTATCCACTGAATATAATTCCTTGGGATTCCTAATCTCTTTAACTTGGCAAGACAACCAGCATGCCATAGCTGGTCAAAGGCCTGCTTAAAGTCGACAAAGATACATGTAACTGGAGAGCTATTGGACATCAAACTGGAAATTTGTTCCAAAAATAAAAGAACGCGAGTTTGAAGACGAAACCCCGGTCGAAACCCAGATTGGCATTCGGGTAATAATCCTCTACTGTCCAAAACTTTCCTAAACCTTTCTAGAAATAACTTTTCATGTACCTTCGAGAATACATCCAAGAGTGAAATAGGTCTCGTGGAGCCTGGATCACAAATAGCTTCTTTTTTTGCTAGTAATATCATTCTCGATTCTTTCCACATTTTAGGTACTATCCCTTTCAAAAATGAGTTATTCACCACATCAACAAAGAGCGACCAATACGATACAGGTAGAAAGTTGAACATCAAATTCGAGAGTCCATGAGCATCTAAAGACTTCTTTTTCTTCTTATTATTCACCACATTGACCACCTCTTCGAAGGTACATTCGGGAATTTTTTCATCAAAATTGTCCCATTCGACATCGGGAGCGTCGGTGTAGGGGTGAGGCCTGTATACTTCTGGTTCCTCAAATAGTTTTTCATAATGGTCCGCTGCTAGCTCGCACATTTTCATTGGATCCTTTATGACCTCACCAGAACTAAGAACAAAACCATGGAGTGATGATGAGGAGGATCGCATATGCCGTTTAGTTTTGGACCAGAAACTGACCGATAAAGGTGAGCAGGTGTTACGAACTGAGAGGGAAACCGACAACTTGTTCGAGAGATATGATTTCAGTTTCTTTTTAGCAGCTTTTCTCCTAAATTTCACAATTTCTTTCAGATAAGGACAGCCGTTTTTCGTTTGTCTGAAAGAGAGAGCACGTGTTAATGACATATAACTACGAAGATCTTTCGGAATAGAGATTCTATATTTTTCGATAGGAAATAACACTGTACAGCGAGCTGTGAGAAGAGACAGAAATGTGACATATTCTTCATATACAACATCTAGGGGATCTAAAATCCACCTTCTTGACCACCATGGATAGACGAACTCACTAAACATAGAAAAAACCTTCCAGTGTACGTTTTTAGCAAAGCGAACTTCCTTTGATGTTACTGGAATAACTGTCAGCACCGGTTTATGATCACTTGTGGTTTTTGTTCCTTCAACAGTCTGTATGGAGACAGAAAACCCAGATGTAAAGACATAGTCAATTGTTCGATCACTTCTTAGTGATGTCGAAGAGTCAGGAATAAATGGGCATAAAAGTAAGGAGTCGGACCACGATAGTAACATCTCAGCTTTGGCTTTATCTTTTGCAAGGTCCACATTAAAATCGCCGAAGACAATGCAATTAGAGGAAATAAATGTAGTCAGATCCTTCCAATTCCAAGATTTTGCCTCCGACGCGTACACCCCCAGAAGCCTCAGTTTCTGATCCTGATCAAATATATCAACTACACATACGTTCGAGATTTGACAAACTATTCTACTCGTTTTTAATCCCTCCCGCACCAAGACAAGCACACCACCGTGCGAATTTTCTCCTCCCTGATAGAAGAGCTGGTATTTGGAGAAGGTCTGCTTGCAAAAGGTGAGATCGCAATGGCCCGTTTCCAACAAGACAAGAACGTCAAACTTATACGATGCTGTGAGAAGAAATACCTCTTGGTGTCTCAGGTCCAGACCTCTCACATTAAAAGACAAAACTTGTACGGAGTTAACCACCGAAGAAGTATCCTTAGTCCTAAATGGTTCCCAGTTTTTGAACAGATCAGAGAGAAAAAGAGAACTTTCCCATTCGAAAAGTATTTCAAACAAAAGAGAAAAATCAAACACTGACAGATTACATTTCGCATTTGAGAGAAAAAACTCACGCTTGTTTTTAATGAACTGCGGAGTACACGAAAAAAATGAAGAAGCAAAAGGAGATAGCGTCATGAAAATATTTTACCTTTCGATGCATTGTCCAATTGAGCACGTACAGTTTGAATTTTATATTTGAAGTCAGCATCATCAATTCCAGTTGCTTTTAAATTAATATGTTGGAGAAATTGGGATAGTAAATCTAATGAAGGTAAAATCAGTTTCTTAATTAATTTTTCATTTGAATCTGATCTGTCTTTCACTTCTCTATTATTCATCATTAATTCATCTACTTTAGCGAATAGATAGTCATCATTCTTCTTGCTTTCTACGATGAACAGTTCAAATTCTTTTTGTTTTTTTTCAATTCTATCTAATGTATCATTCATTTTAGCTACGCTAAAAATTAATTCATCAATTTTGTTTGATGTTGCATTGTTGATAGAGATCGGTGCTGTTGACGACTGTGGTTGTGGAAGAGCAGGAAAGCCTGCGGGTTCATAACTGTAATTGTTCTTATTGGTTATATTCATTGTTGAAGTTGATAACAATTTCTTTGTCAATAGTGATCTATATTCCTTCACAATTGGACATTTTAAAGAGTTCGATGGATGATCATTTTTCATACAGTGAATGCAATGCATAATACTAGTACAACGATGTTGACGAATATCAGTACAGTTAGTACCACAGGTCTTACAAGTATCATTTTGTTGTTTGCATTGACGACGAAAATGACCGATTCCTTGACATTTGCTACATATCAAGACCGTTGCTGGACATAAATATTCTTCAATGTCGAATGTCATTCCTAACACTCTAATTTTGCCGTCCTTCAATAAAGCATCACGCTTTGAAGACGAAAGAATTTCAATTTTAATCATTTTGATATCGTTTTGATATTTATTTTTAAGTCTGATAATATTATGAATTTCCGGATATAAGGAATTTAATTCTTCTGATAATTCATTTAAATCCACTCTAAGATCAACATTTTTCATAATCACAGATAACTGTGGTGGAAATGACGGCATAGATGTAAATGTAAATGTTTGCCCTCCAATTTGTTGGGGCCAATTTTGTTTACCAAATAAAGCAGAGAAGGAATCGACATCTTTCACGTAGATAAGAAGATCATAATCATCACCTTGACATTTTGCTATGGACTTGCGAATATTAGCAATGTTGACGTCGATTTTTACATTGTCATAGAAATGTTTTATAATTTGTTCAGCAGCATGTGATTCTTTAATATTGCCACTATTAAATCGAATAATGAAAGGACTAAATGGAAAACGTGTCTGGGCATAACGCGTGGCTTCAGTAGATACAGTCGGTACAATTGGTTGGGACATTTGTTGAAGTTGATGTGTAGTGGTTGGACTATTAACAACAACATTAGGTTGTACATCTTGAACTAAGTCATAATGGCAGTTATTCTTAATGTTGTTTTGGTTTCTTCGCCTCTTGGATTTTATCACAGTAAATTCATCATCATCATCATATTCATTTCTTGCACGACGAGGAGTAGCTGAACGAAGTGTATGTGGATCAGGCGGAGGAATCCGATTATGAATGTTAGAATGATGGATATAACGTGTATCTGTATGATGGTCATAATATTCAGTGGACTGGTTGTTCAAATTCATTGAATTCGTAGAATTTGTGCATTCATTTTGACGATAACTTTCATTATTTCTCGTACCATTGTTCTGATATTGTTTATTATTCGTCATGATTTGAAGAAAATAAACAAATTCGACGACAGATGTCAACACGCACACTGTACGTGATTGTATATATGTACTTTAAGTACAAATTACAGTAGAAAAGGAAAGAAAGAAAAAATATACGTCTAATCTCTATTTAGAAATATTGTGGATTTATCTTGTTTTATTTCATATCGACGTTTCGAAGAATAAATCTCCGTTGACGAGAAATAAAATGAGCTTGTTAGAAAAGTGAAAAATTTTACATGCCACAAAATAGAAATAAAAAGAAGAAAAAGAGAGATTTATAGCGAACAGAAATGAATTATAAACACCACTATAAAATATTCAAAGAGGTAACTAATTTCTTTTCGTTATAAATGTCTCTCTTTCTTCTCTTCGTTCTTATTTTGTGGCATATAAAATTTTTCACTTTTCTAACAAGCTCATTTCATTTCTCTATGATGAAGATTTATCTTTCGAAACGTCGATATGAAATAAAACAAAACATAAAATTTGAAGAAAGATAATTTCACTTCTTTCTATCAAACTGTGACACATGAGAAGGATATATGCTGCTGTAAAATCGTTAGTATTATTTTCAACGTTATTTCTCATAAATGCACAACATTTTTCGTCTAAAATTATCGAGAAATTGTAACACGTAATACAAGCACCCTCCAAAAATTTTGAAAGATGGACAGGTTAGAAGCTCTCGAGAACTTCTAAAGCGAAGGGTTTACTATATCCATAGAGGGACATAATTATATACCTATCATACCACCTATACCGCGACAGCGGTACAAAATATACCGTCATACCGCCATATCGCTATAAGACCATCCTGCTGTTAATTTCATATTGATTACCATTGGCTTGTTTTGGATTTTACCGCAAATTCAAATTCCCCACCGACTCATTTCAAGACAATCCGATGGTACAGTTTGGTTTGGTAGTCTGAAATAGAAAAGATTGAATGAAGTGTTAAATAGTTTTCCAACATGACCCTCACGTTTCCCATATGATTATAGCTTCGCCCGTTCGTCTCGTCTTTTTGAGACTGTTGTGGCATATTGGCACTTTCAGCTGAACCGTTGGTTAAAAATTTTACATTATTCCTCCATTCTGTGACGGTCGCCGTAGGATGATTGAGCAGGCGTTAATATTTTAAATTTTATCCCAACAAGAAAAACTTATATTGGCAAACAGAGCGACAGTTTTGTAGACACGAACAATTTCTCTATCAAATGAGTATAAAATGTCTTTATGGAAATTATCTAAGTGTAGTAAAAAAAGTGAGTGATACTGTCCCATTTAATCTGCGTCACCCATTTAAATATGCGACTACCGTTTCTATCATTCATACGGGCACAGCTGTCGTCGAAAAATGGTTGAATTATTTTTAAAAGTTAAAAATCTCTCGTGTCCCTTCTGTGTCAAATGTTAAGTAGTCTTCTAGGAAGGATTCGAAAAATTTAGATAAAGTGCAGGATCTCTGTTTCGCTCCTCCTTTCTCCTAAGTTCATTATCAGTTCAAAAACTTCAATAAAAGTTTTGTAAATCAAGAAATCTTAATGTTGGTACAACGTTTCCATTATCCTTCCAAAAGAACTTTTCAAAACATTGAATTTTTTAAAAAGAGAAACATATATCTGCGGGGTAAATGAGTTCGGTCTTCCTAATTATGTTATAAGACATGACTTTCCCTTTAACAATAGTTTTTTAGAACGTCAAGATGTATTTAAACAGTAGACTATCATCAAATTAGAGGGTTTTTGATGACTATAAGAAATGGAGTACTTACATTATCCTGATTATTAGCTATGAATTTGTCTGCGAAATTTTTGTGAAGACTTTATATTTTCCGAGGTTGTCTGAAACATAGTTCCTACACCATTAGAGGGTGTGGGTGTAGGTGTCGATGTGGTGTCCTCTTCATTTACAACCTCACCCACACCCACACCCTTATTTATTTTTCTTTACAATTGATTAAAATGTTTTAAAGAATCAGTTGTTTTCTCCTATGTATAAATCTATAGACATTTAGAGTGAAACTTCGTCCCTAATATCACTTTTATCATATGAACAAACTTCATAAACTTGCCGGCTTTTACCGGTCTAAAATTACTTTTTAGACCAGCCAACTACCCATTGGACTGGGTCGGTCTACAATTTCTAGGCCGATTACAACTTTGAATCAGAGATCTTGTTATATGATCAACCTCTAAGCAGAGCAACTAGTTCCAGACACCTATATGTATGAATTGCTGATGTATGACTACATGAAAAATGATATATTTGCTGTTTTACATACGATTTTCATATTCTCGCCTGTTTATTCCATTCTGAAATAAAAAGTCGGCCCCATTGAACTTTATATATTTTTAGACTAATGGAGTTTAAATGTGATCAAATCGAATTTGTACTTCAAAATTGGATAAACAGGCAAAAATATGAAAATCATATGTAACAAACCAAAAATCAAATTTTTCATGTAGTCACATACCAGCAATTTATACATGTATGTGTCTGAAGCCAGTCGCTATACTTGGAGGCTGCTTACATGACACATCTCTGACTAGTATCATGTAGGATATGCAGAATAAATATGAGATGTAACTGTTGATATACAAAGGAAAAACAACCGAAAAACTATTTATCTTGTTACTGTTGACCCACCGTGAATATGATCTCGGTGAAATTTGAAATTTTGAGATCGATCAATGTCACAGTCATAGAAAATTCATTCCTTAATCATACACCAATATAATTAGTATAGTTGAGTTAGACAGAAATTCGAGTTGAAAGTTTTTTCAAGAAAAAAGAGTTATTTGTTATTTTTTTGTTATTAATAACAAATAACAAAAATAGTTATTGTTATTAATAACAATAGCAACAAATTCACACCCTTGATTTAGATTTTATATCGAGTTTGAAGTCAATGTGATCATGTGATTATGCCTACCTGTATTTATTACGACTACGTCAAGATTTTTATATCAGTTTCAAACAAAACTTTGTAACGACAACAATTAAAAAACAGAAACAACCAATCTAATTCATCTCACGTGTATGAAAATGATGAAGTTGTCGAGAATAAGCCAAAGAATGTTTCATCATACACATCTATGCAGAGCGCACAGAATTCACAAGAAAAGAAAGAGTAAAAGAAAATAAAAAAAGATATGCCTCCATATACACAACTGAGTCTAGAGCAATTGCTCAAACGAGCAGTTGCACGCTGACATTTCCTCGCTCGGACACTTATGCGTTAGGACAGTTGCTCGCTCGGACACTTGCTTGCAAAGTGAAAATTAGAAAGAATTATGAATCAAAGAAAAAATTAACATTATTCCTTCGACTGAAGGGAGAGTCATATGAAAAAGAATAGTTTGTTTTCTTGGTTGATTGATTGATTGATTGATTGGGGTGAAAGATCAAAATAACATCATTATCAAAAGTTGATTAAATTACGAATATGAAGGTGCTCAAACCTAAATCGAGGCAGCCGAATCCGAATCTGATGTTTATTTTAAGTAACTAATCATTAATTGATTAATTATTTAATTATTAACTGATTATGAATTGTTGATTTTTTTAAAAACTTGATCGAAGGTAATTTAGTATGGCGAATCGGAATTTGATATTTTAATTAATTAATTGATTATTAATTATTCACTGATTATGAAATTTCAATTTTTTGGGAAAACTTTATGAGGGCAATTCAACGGGGAAGGAGCGAAAATGTCGTACTTCCACTTACTTCCTGTACTTTCAGACTATGTCGTAACCGCGTATCAGATCTTTTTAGCTATTTCAAGTCTACTATTGACCTGTACTATGGTGTATTAATCGAAGTCCAACTTACTTAACCCTTTCCGGCCGGATGTTGCCATTTGGCAACATTGAGTCAGTATTTCGGGTAGCTACTCCTTGAAGTTCTGATCTATTATGTTTTGACTATTTGATAATTACAACTGTAGATTTCTACGCTTATTGGTGAATTAAATTGAATAAGAAATATTATCCTGAAGATAGCAACAGAATAGCTCCTAAAAGTCCTAGAAGATCATCCGAGTCGTTAAAGTGATTTTCTGTATATGGGAACAGTCAGTATTTGATGTAACTGTCAGTTAATTTTCTTTTATAGAACTGCTATAAATTGCATAAATAAGACCGATTATTCATCGCATCAGGACAATAGATGTTACCAATATTGCCATTTGATAACAGCCGGCCGAAAGGATCAAACATTTTAAAAACTTCAATTTTTTTGATATAGCAACATACGAAGTTTTGTGTTGTTATTTTTATCCATACCTCAGTAATAGTACAAAGCTGTTCTAATTGCTCGACCATCAATACCCCAGGGCGATATATTCGTCAAATATTGTATAATATACTGGACAAGTGTAGGGTTAGCGATATCCTTCAAGAAAAGCTTTCAGAATTCCAGATAGTTTACAAAAATTTCAACTTGATGAGAATTACATCGAACTAAACTGCTTTTAAAAAGACAAAAATCGTTTAAAACATTCCGAAATTCCGAGAGATTTCCTGAGTGAATATAGCTGATATTAGACCATTCCAGTAAATTATAGAGCATTTCAAGAATATTTGACCCTAGGCTTTCGATATCTGAGCAGGGTGTGGGTGTGGGTGTGGGTGTGTGGGTGTGGGTGTGGGTGTGGATGTGGATGTGGGTGTGTGGGTGTGGGTGTGGATGTGGGTGTGGGTGTGTGGGTGTGGGTGTGGGTGTGGATGTGGGTGTGGGCGTGGGCATCGCTACCCTATTCTGTGGTAGCGACCCNACGATGTCTCGGTCGAGTTCGAAGATGAGCAGGATCCGTCAAGAAATGGCTGAGTTATCGAAAAAATTGTCATTATTGAGAAGACCATCCCTGAGGGGGGGGGGGGGGGGTACAGGGATTTTTTCAAAAAAAAATTTCTTTTCTCCGAATTATTCACAACATATACAAATCGACTCAGTTTTTAGCGGTGATTCCGAATCTGATATTAGTTTTGAACCAAATCGTAGGTTTCTAACAAAACATCCCCCCGAAAAAGGTCTCAAAATGCAGAAAAACTACATGAAGAAAGCAAATAGTCTAGATATTGTCTCAGATGATAAAAAACAAAGTGAATATACCTTTTCACTTTTTGAAGTACACATAACACTCGGATTTAAATCCGATGTTTTCGCATTTATTTCTTTTTCTTAGCTAGTCAAGAGAGATCCACGAGAAATGAAATTATTCTGTTTTACTTTTATGCTTTTCAAACTACTATGACTTTCATATTTTTCGTTCTTTAAGCCTTTCAAGTGTGGGTGAGATACTGATAAAGGAACAAAAATATTCTTCTAGCTTTAAAAGGTATATCGGTATAAAAGTAAAATGAAATAGATTTGATTTCTTGTGGACCTATGATGTTACGAAAAAAAAAGAATTCTTATTTATTTACATAAGAATTGTTTTGTTCTAGAAAAACTTTGACATACTTTAGCTCCACCACCAGCAACAATAGGTCCACGATATTTTTCATTTTCACAAAGACCAAGAAATACTCTAAAATAAATAAATTTTGAATTTTATATGATATTTGTTTTCATACCGAGCTATTTGTTCACGACAATTTTCACTTTTATGTTTACATAATTGTACTAAAACAGGAATAATTCCAGCTTCGACTAATTTTCGACGACGTTCATCAAAAAATGCTTTTTCATCCTGTATATATTAAATTATACTATATTCATTTCAATTATCTTTCTTTTTAATTTACTTTTGGATGTTCTTTTGGTATATGTTGTTTAGCATAAGCAGCTAATTCAGTCATTTCTTTATCTGGTTTTCTTATATCATATGTATTAGTTAAATTAACAAATATTGTTGTTATCGAATACAAAACATGTGCATCTTGACATTGACATAAAGTAAAAAGAGCTTTCAATGCTGATAGATTATCAACAAGTTCTTCTTTAACATCAGCGTCTAAAGATAAATAAGCTAGACCATCAGCTGACCAACGACGAATATCAAAACTTTGACTTGTTGTTAAAAATCTGAGAAAAGAAAAAAAAAATTCAAGATGAATAAAAGCAAAAAACAAAAAATATTTCTTCTCTCAATATACTTGCAACATGAACGACTAAGTGTTTGACATGAACCTTCGGCGACAAGACTTGTACTTGTATCTGTACCTTTACTTGATGCAATTTTTGATAAACCCTAAAGAGTTTCGAAATAAAATTAAAATACACGAATTCAATAGATATATCATACCACAAGAGCAAGCACTTTAATATCTTCATTTGTTGATCGATAGAGATTTTTAAGATTATCAGCACCTTGTTGTATAATACCTGCTGCTTTATCTTTTTTCGATGCTGATAAAACAATAGCTTCAACTGCAATACGCTAGGCAAAGAAACAAAAATTGAATTATAAAAAAGAAAAAAAATTTCAAATTACTTCTTGTATTGGATCATTCGAACCAGTCATTTGTAACATTAAATCTACTAAATTTTGACTACCTAAGATTGCATTACCAGTATCAAAAGGACCTTGTAAAAGAACAGACAAGACAGATATTGTTCGTACGCGTGATTGGATATCATCTTTTTCCCGTAAAGCTCTAAAAGTAATAAAGCATTTAGTTGCAAGTTTTTTTGTATACATTAGAATCTTTATATTCAAGAATGATGGAAAGGGTTCAAGTGTGAATTACTAATTAAATAAATCGAGCGTAGATGAACGCTTAAAGAAAAATATCATTTTTCATAAGAACTCGAAACAATCAAATCTTTTTCAACATTCACTACCTTTAAAATAATAGATTATCAATTTTGGCTGAGACCTGTTTAAGGACAAAATTTCGAGTGCGTATTTTTTATTCGATTTCTCAGCTATACTTGATGAAAGATTACCAAGCTATGTAACATAACTATAACTGTCAAAAGGACTCTGTATGAGAGAGCTCGTTGTGTCCAAAATTTTCAGATTCAGACTAACTCAACTGTCTCTACCATATGGAGACAAATGCTTTTAGGATTCTTCTAGACTCGACAAGTCCTGCATATGAATGAAAGATTAGTTCGATTGGCGATTCACACTTGCTCATCAGCAATAAGAATTTCGTTTATCATAACTACCTTAAAATACAATGATTTGACTTTTATCCATTAGAGTAGTCCTCATAATAGAAAGCTTTCATGGTAAATGACATGTAAGTATAAGTGATATATTTTCAAATGTTAATTTTAACCCTTCTATACATTAAAGTTTTATGTAGAGAATTCAAGCTTTGTATTTTAAGAAGAAAATCAATCCAAAATTTAAAGCATAGTTTTTATTCTTCTATGTAATTGATATTTAAATAAACTTACCTAATAAATTCTGTACATTCATTGTTAAAGTCTTCTCGTTCTTTATCTGAACATAAATCATGATAGACAACGCTAAGTACACAAGAAATATGCATTTTAGTTTGTTCTGTTATTGGATATGATTTTTTATCATTATCAGGTAAATTAGGTACCGTTGCTGCTACTCGAAGTACTTTGGGTACACCTATTAAAATAGAAAAAAGAAAAGTTTTAATAAATAAATCAATGTCAATGCTAAACTTGCAAGTACTTGATTGAAAATTGGCTAACTCGAGAATGGCAATTCTTAACAATGTCCAGCTTTGAAAACTGGAAGAAATCCAGTCAGACAAAAATTTTGAAAAACGCGTTTAAACGCACAATCGGGAACCGCGATTGTAAGCCATTAACGCTCATTAAAAAAACGCACGAAAACGCGTTTNTAAAATAATAATATCCACAAATTTCAAATTTTACAAATAAAATCGAGTCAATTAATTTATATTCTATTCATATTGTATGGGTGACAAAGAATGTTACCAGTTATTTCAAGGAAAATAATGTTTCATATGACTCTTTGATAATGAAAATATACATAATGAATTATATCAACAAATTACTTTTTAACATAGGAAAGTTGTTTTACAGTGTATGTCCTTTTTTATTTCAGAATATTCCTGCTACTTTTTATTTCAAGTGCAAATCCTATAGGTTCATACTACTTGAACTTGGATTAATACTGAATATGAAGCTACACAATTAACCTAGTGTCAGACATAAAAAGAATCTCCGAATTCAATCAAATAGCTAAGAGAATAGCATAGAGACACAATCACTAAATGTCAAGTCAAATTTAATGCGCTCATTTGCCTTCAATCAATCGAATAACTTGTTGCAAGAAGTACAGCAACTGTAAGAAAATATGTTGTAGAAAGTGTAAGTATCAGTAATGTCTATCTTACTGTCGTTCGTAACTTTGCACTATGTGAAGGAACATTGAGACAAATCAGATTCAAACAAAATAGTTAGAAAGCGAGAAATGAAAGAAAATATCATGGCACTAGCATCAACAATAAACCTAACATATTAGTTGTTCTATATCAATGTATGCTCTTTTTAGTATGAAATCAAACATTTTTGACCGAACTTTCTTAATAGTGGTTTAATTCTCATAAAGAATGTAGTCATACATGTGCCCATACTCAGACCCACACCCGCAATAGCTTCTACGGGTCGTATTAAACACATTCAAGATGCTTATTAACTGAAAACGAACGATTATCGTTTCAATGTAAAATATTTTTGAAAATATCATTCTACAATCCAGCTAGATCGATTTGCCATAGGTCATGAGTGGCTAATGGTAACATCCTCTCTTCTTGACAATCATGGAACTTTGAACACAATCTTGGGGTGTCGGACACATGAGCGACAAGCTTAACATTAATGCGCGTTGACGATTTTGTTTTAAAAAACTACATCCAGAATCAAGCACAACTATACTCAAAATAACCGAAATATGCTCAACTCGGTGGAAACTACCGTTCAATCAACAAAAACGGAAGACGGACGATATGCTAAAGAAAGAAGCATTCTATCGTTACGTTCCGAATAAAAAAGGATTTCTCTTCGAAATGCATGAACACGATTTCTCAGTAATGAAAGCAGCAACGGTTTTATCTCACTTAGCTTTCGTACTGCCTCGATATACGCAAGTAACGAACTGGATGGGAAAAGTTCAGTGAAAATAGCTAAAGCCCATCAAATGATAAGCATCCAGTCACTACAGATCTAAAAAAGTAATAATAGTGAAGAGAACAGGGCTAACAAGCTCAACATACAGCAGACAAAAGTTTAGATTGTATACTCAACTGCAACTTGCCATTATACTTGATGTCATCGCGATCATGAAAAGTTCCATATTTTCTTTTCTATCGATAATGCTAAATGCGAATAAAGAGAAAAAAAGATTGCTAATACCAACAGCAAAGTAATGCTATAATCGTCTCAATTACAAATACTCATCAAGGTAAAGCGAGGTTTTCTAGTGGAACTTCTAATTGATGTACTATTCGTCAATATAATTTGAAACATGGTCGTTAGACCGATAAGTCCAGAAACGAACGAAGCCCATGCCTGGAATAGATTACCGTTTATTAACAGTTTCAGATTTTCCAGGGTGTATATAATGTTAGATTGTAGATGAAGGCATGATCATCACTCTTAGCAATTGCATACCCATACGTCACACATCTACACATTTGAAAGAATATTTGTCATGTATGCATTATATGAGTTGTACACTAACTATTTCACTAGTCTTCTAGTTAAACTCTTTTCAAAGATATTTCCGCACATGGGAAACATGCGCAAACTTGTCTCCTAATATAACAAACCACCTTGATACATCAAACAGGGAGGTAAAAACGATAAAAATCATTATACTGAGGTATCTCGGATTCATGATAATCTTAAACAGATATTTAGCTTCGGAATATAGTGGCAATGGGTTGACGATGGAAAATATACGCTGTCGGATTTTATTACACAACGAAAATTTAAAATGTGATTTGCTTCATCTTCAAAAAAGTTAATTGTCGCAATCGGAACCATTCAGCAGCATTGTCTGCGTTTGGTACGCTGGCACTATAACATTGTTGTCACAAGCCGAGCTATATCTATGATTAATATAAAAAAAAAGGAAAAAAAGAAAGATTTTTAGGAATGAGATAATCTTGTCGACGAAACATACCTGATTGTATTTTCGACTGATCTTATACGAAGACGAGAAATAACAATCTCATTGGCGAATGGACCACCCAAATTGAACACTAGAAAAAAAAATGATTTTCTCTTTCGCAAGTGCAACAACAGACGTATGGCTACTGACAAGTTTTTCCTTTATTGAAATATACGATAGCATAATCTACTTGCCCTAGATCGATATTGAAGCTGAACACATGTCGGAGAACATCACCCGGTTTTAAATCTACATTCGCTCTAGAATCGAAAGAAAACGAATTCATATTGTCATCTTCTTCTCTCTATTCTATTCATTTTACTTGTGAGTCATACTGACATTTGCTATGATTTCATAGTTTGAATTAATAGCAACATAAATTTCGCCGATCGTTTTAGCTGCATTTTGGTCAAGTTCAAGTTCGGCATAGTATTGATAACCTGCCGGTATCGAAATAAAAAATGAATAATGACATCAATATCTAATCCGATTTTACCGCAAAACGGCGAACTACTCTTGGTAGCCAAATACATATTGCCACGACCAGATGAATAAACCGAATGAAAGCCTGTTGAAGACAAAGAAAAAAACGATCGAATGATTTCAAAAATGTTTCTATTCCTCAGCACCCATTCGACTGCAGCCAGATACAGGACACACCAAGCATTTTCCACTACGGAAACTATTCTAGACGATAGTAAAAATTTATTATTCGTCTTTGAAGTTCATCAATTTCATACGTACAAAGTCTTGGCAAGGAAACGCAGTGTATGGACATTGCAAACTTTAATTTAGTTATTTATAGAATTATGATGAATGAAGTAAGAACACTTACTTAATAGATTCAATGAAGTAACCGTGAGAGCGGCCTATAACAATTCAATAAGTCATCAATGTTCGTTAGATCCTTAACTTCGTTACTCACTGTGGGAACATGATGTTTGTTCAAAACCGCCTATGGAAAAAAACGAATAACTGTATTCAACGTTTCTAATCAAATACCCAATCTTACTTTCGCTCTGGCCCGAAAATAACCCACCGATGAGTGTTCCACTGCAAAAGAAAGATTGAACAGACAGTTAGAAAGTCGTACCTCATGGGACAATATCAATGTTTTACACTGAAGGACAGCCTGGTTGCTGTTTGCCACCATTGACATAGAAATCTACATGACCGGATGGATCATCCGATCCGAGGCCGACACCCAAAGCAATTTCTGTATTCGAATGAATAACATCTATAAATTTCGCATCACTTTGATCGAGGCGTACGGGAGCAGTTTTGCCTTCGAAAAACGGACCGGCTGGATCAAGACCAGAAATACGAGCCATCTGACGGTTAATTTCATTTGATGCATAACCACACGTGTGTGCGCCAAGGCTATGACCTAGGCGAGCAACGGAAAAATTGTTCAATTGGATATTAAAAATGAATGATATTATAGACAAACCGATGCAATGAACTTTATCGTAGGATAATTGCTTCAATGTTTTCATCTTCTTCAGAAGCAAAGCAATTTCTTTGCCAACTAAACGAGTATTGGCCGCTGCATTGTTATACAATGGAAATTTCGCACCATTACCCCAATCCACAACAAGCACATCGGATGCTTCGTTCTGAAAAATTTTTCACATGATTTACTGTAACATATTCTGTATTATCGTTTTCTTCTTACATCTTTCAGTTTGAGCAATTCTTCGGTCAATCGTGGAATCCAAAGACTATTTCGATTATTAGTAAATCCATGCACGATAATTCTTAACCATTTTGAATTGCTGAATCTTGACTTAATGATCGAGCTATCATTCTGATTATATTGAAGAAATTCTGGATTTGTTGGTGCACTATGTGTAAATAGGAGAAATTGGGTATTGATCAGTGATGGGTTTTGAGGTACTGATAATCCAGCATTGTCAAATGGCGGATTATTGTCGAAACATCCCACAACTGGATAGCAAACGGAGGTACCTGGCTCTAGAGTCTCCACTGATGAGTCGCTCCAATTGTCCCAATCATCCCAGCCCTTTATCATGGCACCATTAATCTGGGCAATGGCATCATTCACAGCATCATCTATACGCAGTTGGTCATCAAGATTATGCAGCAGTACAATTCGAGCATCGATCAAAAGAATACACAGGAATAGCAAAGCATAGTGCATATCTTAGTACGAAAGAAATTCATACGAAGTAATTAAATTCGAAAATAACAAATGGATTTCTATGGTTGCTACTTCAATTCAAGTTTAAATGATTGGTGTTCATTGTATGCGTCCTAGTGACGACTATACATGTTTGAATTTATTTTTACCATTCAACACACGATACAAGTTATGTCAATGGAACCAATGCATCTCGATTAAGTTAAAACATTTAATGCAAAATGAATATTCGTTTTCTTATTTTCAGCATTCAAAAATTAAAATGCAAAACCTCCCAAGTTCTATTACCTGCTGTAAAACGCATTGCAAAACACTATCAACACACGAAATAGCTATGAGAATATTGATCAATTGATTTTTTACCCATGCATATGCAGCACAGCATTCAAGATACCATCTGATCTATTTCACATACTTTTTTCGAAAATCTAAGCCGGTGGTTGGCAATTATCATGATAAAGGCTCTGTTCTACAATAGGTCGTGTTCTCAGTGTTTGCCAAATTGAAAAATGCAAAAAAATAGCATTCAAATCCATTTACGCTTCCTCTCATTAATGTATTTTGAAAATTGATTTCCATGATAGAAATGGGTCACTTTTCAAGACATTCAATCAGTTCCGAGGTTTCTATTAAGTGTGGAACTTACTCAATCTTGGGATTTAGTGAAGAAATTACTGATTTTTAAGCTTTTCTTCTGAGAGAAAATTCTCTGATTTTAAGGGCTCATTTTAAAGATTTTCCCGGACCTTTAGAGTTTTGCAATGACTTTTAGCGACCTTGTCAGCCAGTAAGACAACAAAAAGAATAAGAGGTCTCATCTATAATAATACTTCATGGATACGGTTTTGTAAAGCTATTTTTAGTTACATGAGCGTTGCCTGAGATGCAAATCAAAACAAAATGGTGCATGGTTTAGTTCGATCAAAATTAGAAATAATGGCAAACATTGAATATGATTTTTCAACAAAGTTAGTCTTTACAAAATTACAGTAATGTTACAAAAGTAGCACAAAAAAACACACTCAACAACTTATTGTTTAAGGTTTACCTATCTTTCCTTGGTCATATCGGTTATTAGCTAATGTTTCTTTGTACATTTTTATCCAAGATTGGGACAGAATTAATATTAGAAAGTGCAATTATCACCTTTATATTTCATTAAACGAGATTTCTAACAAAGTTTTTCAATTATAAAATTAATTTGAAAACGAGAGAAGCACTTATTTGAATTAGCGTCTTGCTTTTGTTTGAAAACAATTACTACGGATCTTTCTTACTTCTGATGAAAGTCTTTCGATTTCACCTTTCATCTAAAAAAGAATTTCCTAATGAAGCTCTAATTCTTTACAAGAGAACTATTGTCAATAGAATGACCAATCTTCGAACAATAGCCTTGTTCTGCTAAGATTCTGCATAATTCACTGATGTCACTACGCATTTTCAATGATTATAAAGCCTCTTACTGTTAACATGTGATATTTCTCGAAATATCAAGTCTCACTCAATGCTTCTATGGATTCCTTAATAAAAACAGTTTCTTATGTTCGTGAAAAGTTCGTAAACATGATGTTCAGAACTGATATATTCTAATTAGATTGCCTAATATTCACCATCTGGCAGCTATGTCATATGAATAAGCTCTTTGATAATATCTCGAGTTGTTTAGAAACGAATGACTCTTGTACTAATATGTATTATTGCGTTCATTGACACCTTATACGATGTGTTAAGATTTTTGCTCACAATTTCGAATTCTTTTTTTGTTGCTGTAGTTGATTTCTCTATAATTAAGACAAGAAAGTTAATTCACGAGAAACATGGATATTTCTCAAAACTTTTCAAGTCATTCCGAATAGTTTTATCTAAGTAAGCAATGCATGCGATTGCTCCCTCTGATTCTTGTTAACTGATCTGAATACTAACAAGAACTTTCACTACAAATATACAAGTTCTTTTTTTATTATGACAACAGAATTAGCTCTCGTACACAAAACCATTTGCTACATTATTTTTTGTGCTCTCTATATTCTGCAAATAGTTTTTTTTAACCTCATCTGATCCTTTGTTTTTTATGCTTGATTTTTCTTTACTATAACACTCACAAATACTTACAATGAACATAATGAAAAATTTCAAGAAAGGTAACAAACAGAATGTAAAAGGGGATCAATACTGCAAATAATGGAATACACAAAAATAAAGAGAGTCGGCAGAAAGAGCAGGATTGGTGTAAGATATGGCACATGTCGAGTAACAAATTTACTCTATTGAGCTTAGCTCGTTACTCAAGGATACTATTATGTGGAGATCGTATAACTCATAGATCATTAATATATCTCTACGAAGAAATCTTGTTTATTAATTAACGGATTCTAACCAGACTAGGAGTAATGGATGGTGTTTGGCTTTGAATTGCTTCTTTTTCTTCGTCGAAAAGTAGCCGACATCATCTTCCACCTATTTATGCTAACTATCCTAAAGCATCATATTTTCTAAAAGGAGTCAGGAATCTAAATCGTAAGAATACATATTTTTTTATGTCTTAGAGATATATCGTTTAACAAATTTCATAATCACGTCTTCTACGAATGGAGCATATAGTGAATTATATTTAGAGTAAAAATCAAAGACAAGATTTGAAAAAAAAACAGCTTCTTGCAAATTCAATGATAGAAAATATATAAATCCTATGTTTTCGGTCTAAGGCGATCAGACGCCAGTAAGATCTGCTTTGATAATGGAATAGTACACATAACTTTGTTTATCATTGCCAATTTTGCTTTCGCAAACTCTTTCTCCTATCAATTAATTTGGAGAAGAAATTCGATATTCGGCTCAGCACTATGTTGTCGTTCGATCGAATAATCACAGTCTTCTTGAAATGAAACGAAATAGTATCTTAAAAACTGAGACATAGAACAATGACAACTGGAAAAAAAGTTAATAGTTTACTTTAATAGATATATAATAACGTCTGAAAGTACATGAGATGTGTCTATTTGACTATACATTAGAATTTTGTTGTTCTTGTTTTTCCACGCATTCAAAAAATCAATGGTATGTTCGAAATGTTCTGATAATATTTTGAATGTTCAGATTCTTTAGTAGCATCATGCTGCACGCATGACTATAATGATTAGGAATCACAGATGGGAAATGACCACTTCGACTTTTAGCTTCAAAATGCTATTACCTAAATTTGAGACCCAGAGCTATGAAGTCGCAATACAAGTCAGAGTTAGTTCCTTTTTGGTTAAGAAAAACTGTCTTGAATCCTACTAAAAATTTAGAATCCGGCTTCATTAATTCTTAAAATAACTACGGCATATCTCAATGTAAATGCATCTAACTCGAATGTCGATAAATAACAAACTAAAATTGTAGATACAAGCCTATGTGGCTATTTTTGCATTCATTGTTCCGGATAATCATGCGTCAAATTGAATCATTGTAATAAAACAACGTCAGAACAATAATGCATATGTCATGCGTTTATCTTTCTCTAATAATAATAAATCCAGAGTTCAGTTACTGCAAAATGTGAGCTATGGACCCGCTTAATAATTTACAACAGTTAAACATTTTTTACATAGGATACAGGAATAAATAAGTTTGTTCAACATTTGTCATTAAGTTTGATAATAAAGAACACACATGACTTAATTTTTCTTGAATAAAAAGCTAGTACGACTTACGTCAGCACGATGAATAATAACCATTAGCATATTCTTTCTTGCATCTATCTTTAACAGTTAGAGAGAAAGATCGATGATGTTACTTCTGAATCGTCTACTCTATTTCATACTCTTGGTACCATCATTAGTTAGTTCTTCTCAAATTAATCTTTATCTGACTGATTGGGCCATTGACAACGTGAATGGTGTTACACTACAGCACAACTGTCTTTACGTTGCCACCTCTATTAACGATGAGAAAAATGCTCCTCAAATCCTTTCATATTGTATGGGTGAATGGCCATCAAGATGGAGCATACACAAGAGTAATTTTGATCGAATTTTTACCTTTGCCGAGCTTAATCAACTACAGATCACGAGTCGACAGTTATATACGTGGTCAGCACCAATAGATCTTGTTGAGAGATACCAGTCATATTTGAATCAACTTCAAGTTTCAAATGAGACATCGATGAGCACACAGCTCTTCTACAACTGTACATTACTACAATTTGGTCCCATATGTCAATATTCGATCGATGATTATGATCTTCATCAATCATCATTAAATAAAATCATTGCTCAATTCTATTCGCACGGATATAAACCGACTACATTTACATGTTACGTCCATTTACAATGTAATCGTGGTCCAGCTTTGTCTTGTCTCGACTGGAGTGAAATTTGTAATGGAAAAATTGATTGTGTGGATGGAGGACATGATGAAGAATACTGTTGGCAACTTGAAATCAATGATTGCGGAAATGATGAATATCGATGTAGCAATGGACAATGTATACCCTATACATTCTTTTGTGATGATTCTCTCGTTCCTGATTGTCTTGATGGATCTGATGAAGTTTCGAAATTTCAGGACAAACGCGACAACTGCGATAAAAGTGAACCAACATTTGCATGCGAAGATGTTGTATGTATGATCAATTCTCAATATTTTTACAGTCCTTTCACAAGCTCATGTGTAAAACAGCGCAGCGAATTACTCTTAAAGGCGATGTTTCTGCACAAGCCAAATTCAATGTCTCATTTGTGTTGGTTAGCATTCATGTGCGTTCTTCATATGCAAGATAATTGGATAGCCGATGAATGTTTTCCACTATGTAAAAATCGAGCATGCAGTGAAATAATTGAAAGTACTTGTCCAGATATGTTTTACCTACCACCCATTCCAATTTTGTTTAATCAAGTCTACTTTGCATACACAAACAAGAACGTAGAGTTCTCCATTTTTTCATCAGCTATACCTCACTACATCTGTTTTAATGGTCAACTCTGCAGTCAATATTTCGTGAAATATGAATCTATCATGTTTAACAATACTATATGTTATCGTCCTAAAGATTTAGGATTATACTTTCGTCAACAAAGAGCAACATGGGTTCATCTATATGTCACACCTTTATTCAAACTGCTTCATACATGTTATGAAATGGTAGATAATAGTTCAGCACTATGCAATAGATCAACTATGTATCAGTGTATGAACTCATCTAAATGCATCTCTCGAAATCGTCTAAATGATGGCATTATAGATTGTTTTTATCATGATGATGAACAATTGAATATGGTCAATAATACTTGTTTATTAGAACGGTTCATAAAACATTTCAAATGTATAAAAACAAATCAATGTATTTCTTATCGACTTGTCAACGACGGCACATGCCATTGTAGTGAATATTGGAATGGTTTATGTGATGATGAATTTACTGACGTTCATTATGCTCGAAATCATATTTTATTTCAGATAATATGCGATGGCTTTAATGAATTGATACCAGTGATTATTGATGGACGAAATGAAACAGACGAAACAGAATGTGAACAATGGCAATGTAATAACACATATACACGCTGTGATGGTTTTTGGAATTGTCTCAATGGAGCTGATGAAATCAATTGCGATTCATTAGGATTATTAGATTGTCCTCTTCACCATCACATTTGTGTATCAACTGAAACGAAACGACTTACATGTCTGCCAATCGAAAAAGCCGATGATGGTCAAATAGATTGTCTTGGTGGCACTGATGAACCTAGATTATGCCGAGAAAACCATTATTTAGCTGCTGATAACAATTTTTACTGCAAGAATGACACCCGTAGAACATGCCTTAATTATGGACATCTCTGTAATCGTTATGACGAATGTGAATATGGAGATGATGAACAAGTATGTGATACGAATAGAAATTTCACAATACATGGAAGTGTTTGTTTCGATAATAATGCCGAAATGAGATCTGACGTGGAAAAGTTCCTTTGTGAAAGATTCATAGATACAAAAAACCAACGGATTGTGCATTTTTCACTCGGTATTGATCGAAACTCGAGTATCAACGCAACAAAATCAAATAGAAAAAGAATTCTTCCACATTCGTTTAGTCGTCAAACTAATAAGCGTTGTCATCGTGGTTTTGATTTGCGAGTTTGGTTAGATAAAGACCAGAATTTGACAACAACAACATGTCTTTGTCCACCAAGTTTCTATGGTGATATGTGTCAATATCAAAATCAACGCGTAAGTCTCACCATGCAATATCGAGCTTTTTCTGATGCATGGCGAACACCATTTGTTCTTGTTGTCATGGTCATAGACGATAGCGATGAACGAACTATACATTCTCATGAACAATTCACTTATCTACCAATGCGAGATTGTCAAATCAAATTTCATTCTTATCTGTTCTATTCAACACGACCAAAAAACAACTCAATAAACTATTCGGTACATATCGATATCTATGAAAAGCTTTCTTTAGCTTATCGTGGAAGTTGGTTCTTACCATTGAAATTTCCATTTTTGTCTGTACATCGTCTTGCCGTTCAATTGGATATTCCACACAGTGTTGATAGCATCAAAAGTTGTTCAGATCTACAGTGTGTTCATGGTTATTGTGCTATGTATTCGAATAATCAGAATGGCTCTAGTTTTTGCCAATGCAATCAAGGATGGTCTGGGCAATACTGTACGATTCCACATACTTGTACATGTTCATCTGATTCTCTGTGTGTTGGTATCTCAGCTAACAATCGATCTTTGTGTGTTTGTTCGATTAATCGATTCGGTCCTCGATGTTTGCTCGATAATACATTGTGTGAACTCGATCAAAATACAAAGTGTCTCCATGGTGGACAATGTATTCCAGTTGATGAACATATTTTATCTGAAAGAAAATTCACGTGCATTTGCTCGAAAGGTTTTTCTGGAGATAGATGTGAAATACCTGATAGTAAAATCATTGTTTCATTTCACAAAGATATTCTCTTATCACAAGCAATGCTTGTACATTTCATTCGGGTGATCGATAATGCTTTACCTGAACGTGCGACTACTTTCAAAACAATACCTGTTCATCAAAATTCAATTATTATTTATTGGTCACGTCCATTTCATCTTGTCTTTATTGAACTTTTCAATAAAAGTTACTATTTAGCTGTTATTCAAAGAGCATTCTCTCCATCAACAACAATTATTAGGAAAATCAAATCATCGAATCGTTGTGAACACATCACTGAGCTATTTAATAAAACGATCATCAAATTACATTTTCTTCGTCGAATCAAATATTATCATGTTCCATGCCAACGACATTCACCAAAGTTATCATGTTTTTATGATGATATTCATCTTTGTTTATGTAATGATCATGGTTTACATCGTGTGGCTAACTGTTTCGAATTCAATCATCATCTGAAAAGTGATTGTCTTGGCCGAAGTGGCTGCGAAAATGAAGCTCAATGCTTTCAAGATAGTTTGACTTGTGCACAAACATCGATTTGTATATGTCCGACTTGTTTCTATGGAGTACGATGTCAGTTCAGTACTAGTGGTTTTGGTCTTTCACTTGATTCCATTTTGGGTTATCACATATTGCCACATCACAGCATCCTACATCAACCGTATGCTGTCCAAATCAGCGCAGTTTTGACTGTTATCATGGTTATAGCAGGACTAATCAATGGTGTTCTCACATTGATCACTTTTCGAAGTAAAAAACTACGTGAAGCCGGTTGTGGTTTATATCTAATAGGATCATCCATCACTACTATACTGACGATGACTCTGTTTGGTATTAAATTTTGGACACTTGTTAGTTCACAAATGTCGCTGACAATCAATCGATCCTTCGTATATGTACAATGCCTATTAATTGACTTTCTTTTACGCATTTGTCTCAGTATGGATCAATGGTTAAATTCATGTGTGGCTGCCGAGAGAGCAATAACTGCTTTGAAAAAAGTCAAGTTTGACAAAAAGCAGAGCAAGAACGTTGCTAAATATGTGATTGTTGCTCTTCTTGTTCTGACAATTAGTACAGCTATCCATGATCCTGTTCATCGACGTCTTTTTAACGATGAAGATAACGACGAGAAACGAATCTGGTGTATTGTAAGTTATCCGTTCAGTTTTCAACTTTTTAATTCGGTTACTTATCTCTTTCACTTTTTCATACCATTTTTCATCAATCTAATCTCAGCTTTGATCATCTTGAAAGCAAATGCTAGACAAAGAGCCATCGTTCGGCCTCATTATACTTATCAACAGCTCTTGCGTGAACAATTTCAACAACACAATCGTCTTATTATAGCTCCATTTATCTTAATCATTCTTGCTTTTCCACGTGTGATTCTTTCTCTTGTTTCTGGTTGTATGAAATCAGCTCAAGATTCATGGTTGTTTCTAATTGGATATTTTATTTCATTCATTCCACCGACGTTCATCTTTTTAGTTTTTATTTTACCATCAAAATTGTATAAAGAAGAATTTCGCAAAGCTGTCAAGCATTACTGGAAGATGATATAGATGTGCTATATATCTGGCTATATATTCAGGTTGGTCAAAAGAAGAAATTTTCTTCTTTAAGTGTTTCATTTTTCATTAAGAAGACTTACTCTAATCCATTTCGACATTTTGTTACTTTCATTCCAATCAACGAATTCAATGAGTCAACGCAAGGCATTTGTGTTTTTTTTTNTGAATACCCATAGAGATTTTTTGGAGATGCGATTAGCTATTTTTCGACCCTTGTTTGGTTCGTATCTACCTTATACATCAGGATAGAAGGCTGAAACTTTTATCACGTGCGTCCTATCCCAGGCCCAACATATCCTCCAAATATCAGCCTGTTTGGATGTTCCTGGGCTGAGATCAATTTTTGAGGGGGGGGGCCTTAAGTCATATAAACAACTAATTGAGACAAAATCAAGTTTTTCTTATCCCTGCTGCCACTCCAAATGCTAGTTCTTTGTCATCGATTCAACGAAAGCAACTACTGTAATTTATTTAAAACGAAACATTTATTGCGACTAAATGTACTTCACTACTGCTACTGCTTATAGTGAGCCACCGCACCTGTATGATTTTAATAAACAAGCTGCACGAAAATCAAATAAAAAAATTAATAAATAATGAAGATCTTCCTTAAGCAACTACTATCACTTTTACCACCATTCGAACACTAATATCGGTTAAAAATGAAGTCAGATACTTCAATGTCACGTTCATCTTTGTCAACTTTTAAAGAAAACCTCAGACAGAATATATTTCATTGACTGGTAATGTGGTACAGAATATCACACTTGCTAAACTAGAGCCAATGGAGCCAGATTTGCTTGAATTCTCGATAGAAACATCTGATTGGTTGAAAGCGTCACACGAAGTATTCACCTAAAATAGTTGCTCAAAACTTACAGAACAATTTGTTGACACGTGAACATACACGTGTAAGCAGACATACACATGCACAAACTCATTTTATTTTATATAACCCTTGATTCAGTCAATAGAAATTGTTTCATTATACTTTTTCTCTTTTCTTCTGCTTCATCTTTTCTCATAAAATCTCTATTTTAAGCACTCGTGAGTGTTACACAATCAAGAAATACAATATTCAAGCACACAAATCTAATGTGCGTTTCCACTTAAATGATTATGATTTTAAGCTGTGTTATTATTCATGAAATTATGACAAGTTAATGAATCATACATTTTTTTTAATCGCTTGATTGATTTTTACATGTAAAAGCCTTGCAAGAAACCATGCTTGGCTTTGCAATATGGAATTATTAATCTACGTCAAAGGCTGGATTAATGCGAATGTTATTTGTCGCCCACTGCTGCTTTAGAAAAGGTCCAAAATAATTATATTGCGTATGTTTAAATGCGCAATGAAAATTTTTCTCACTCTTACTATTTTTGTACGTATATATTCAAATATATATATATGAAACAATATCCAAACGACTAAATAAACTCAATAATATTTCAGCGACACTTTTAATACTCACGTCTCATCGTGTATCGATACGACTGGTTTTACACTGTGAGTTGTTTTTCATTTGTAGAAGCTTGAATAACAGAGAGATATTCCTGATGAATTAATGCATATTGCTTTTTGAACTCAGAATAACATGGAAGATGATAGTGACTCTATTTTCCTTTTGAGGGTCATGTAGTATATTAAAAGTTGTAAAGGAGTATCGTTGATGCTTCTTTGTTCACTATATTGTTCTTACTGGCCTTGACTATCAATGAATAAACAGAAAAGAAACGATATGGTTTAACTGAAAATGGAACTCATACTGAATACTGATTTTCTGAACTAACGCTCTAATCATGGACTTATCGAAGCACGGCAAACATGTACTGGGATAGGCGAAAAAAAATGGCGCTGTTGTGCAACTCATCTTTTGAACATTCTTTCAAATTCGCAGGCTTCATTTGATTCTTGAAAGATGCAGAATTTTCTCTAGTTTTAAATGTTATGATTAGATTAAGACCTGTTTTCATCATCTATCTTCATAGACGTCTTTCTAGTGCAATTCAAACAAAGTACTAAAAAACAACACTCCAGTGTCAATTACTGGAATACAAAATCATATTCAGAAACGAAGTTGTGTAGCCGCTAAGGCAAGGTAGAAGAATTAGACCATCATTCGTGTTGCTTCATATTCCTTGTAAAATTCTGCAAATTTTCATATGGCAATAATTGTTTTTCGAACCCAAAACTTTGAGAAAATCCTAAAAATAAGATACCAGCTGATTAGGCATGAATATGTTTTTACTGTGTTTCCTTTTGAAAGCAGTACAAATTGAGGATGCAATCGATCAAGATTCAAGCAAATAATTCGAAAAATGCTGTATCTTTGAACGTCTGAACCAGTTTTTTTTTGAGAAGTCCAAGAGCGATAATAATTAGTAGTTGGAATTATTCCTGATATTTTATTTAGGCATTGGTGTTTTGATGACTTTCGATGTTTTTATTATTAGACAAGAAAGATGTATGATTAATTTTCGAGCACATATGAATGTACTACAGATAATATTCTGTGTCCTGCTATATCGAACGATACTCAAATTATCAAGTGGAAATCAGAAAAGAATTTTTTTTCGAAAGAGCGCCATTTGCTCTACTCAATATCCCAGTCTTCTCTCTGAATAACATTTAATTGTCAAAAGCTAAAAGAAGTAAAAACAGTTTATTAAAACAAACGTATCAATGCTCCTTGGAAAATTTGAATACATTACGTGAAGATTGAAAGCGGGGGGGGGGGGGTGGCGAAATCACTATTATCTTTACTTAATTCAAACATAGCCTCACTATGTTCTATTGCGTTGTACATTTTGTATCAACGTTTATACCTTTCGATGATTAAATATCATTTACAGAGAAAAATGTGTTTTCATCATTCTTTGACACTTCAGTAGCTAGAGAATTGATTCGGAAAATCAGTATTCGATCATGGGCTCGATTTTCGATTGAAATATATCCTTTCTTTCATATTTATCCGTCGAAATTCAAAGGAAGTCAAACACTGAATTATTTAAAAGAGTAGAAGACAAAGTCGCATCATATGACAAATCATACTTTGGAGTGTGTGCACAAAATTATTTTCGAAAAAATCCTAGCTCTTGGTGTACCGTTACCTACTTTTTTTATGTCGAATCGGATCTATGAGAGAGTCCAGAACATGACAGCGTTTAATGTTTAATGATGTCTCTTTATATAAATGTATAAGTATTTTCTAAAAAATTGGTAATGCATTGATGCCTAGAAAATTTGATTTTTCTAGACAGGTCAACAGAATGTTGCTTTTTTGTTTTGCTCTGATCTGTCTAAGTCGGTCGTTGCTGGCCGTCGAATTGTCTATCTACAAAAGCTTTACTCAAGTTCGTCAGCTTCATAATGGACTCGGTGTATATACGCATGAATTTATAAAATCTGAATACGAAAATATAATTAATGGATCAATCAGTTGGGATGGTACATCATTTGTTCGACAAGAAACCTACAATACGATCGAATCACTCCAAGATGCTAAAGTAACAGTACAACGATCGACAGTATGTAAATGCGAAACAATTCAAGCGAAAATTATCGATCCCAATACGATGTTACTTCAAAATTTGGATACAGGAGCATATTTTTATGCTGATAAACAGTCAATAGAATATACATCGATACAACCAGATAATGGTGGAACAGTATTGGTATTTCAATTTGAAAGTAATACGACAGAATATAATGGAACATTATCATATTTAATGAAAGGGATCACGTGGACACCAAACTATGATCTTTTTTTGATAAACGACAATGGTGAGTAGATTCATTTTTTTATTGAAATGTTCATCTATGAAATATTTCCTTGTATGTTAGAAGCCAAACTTCGTGCTTATGCAAATATCAAGAATAATCAACAACAAGAATATAAAGTAGAAAATACTCATCTTTTAAGTGGAGATGTGCAATTAGCTACTAGCTATACAAGGTTTAATTATATATCTCTTATGGGTGGAGAAAGTGTAAATATGCAGCAAATTCAAAGTGATGGAGAACATAAAGGTTTGTATTCGTATTCATTGAACGACCAATATACACTTCGTTCGTCGAGTTCTATTCGTTTACCATTTATTGATATTGTTGCCAAGTATAAATTCTATTACAAAGCGTTCACAAGTATTAGCACAGCACAGTATCAAGGTGTCTTTGATAGAAGTTACGATTTGACACCTGATCAGTTCATGCCGGCTGGCATTATTTCTATTTATGATAATCGAGTACTTGTTGGTCAATCAAGTTTGCCAGATATTCCTGAAAATTACACGCAAACAATTAGTGTTGGTCACGATAATGATGTTCGCTATGTGGTAAACAGCAATTTAACATCGAAGAGCAATGGCAGGGTATTCGAAACTTATGAGCTCGATGTTCAGCTTATGAATTTCAAGAACAAAAGTGTCAACATTCAACTTGTTTTTGAAAGGGGTATCCAAATCATTCTTCGTGGCACGACATGCACATCTGTAGCAGTTAACGGGAATCAAATCAACTTACTAGTTCAACTTGAAGAGAATGAAGATCATTGGTGCAAATTTAATGTTACAGTGAGATTGACATAAAAGAATCAGTGAACAACAACAGAACACTAAGACTGAGAAAAAATGGAATCGTGCGCGTTTCTTATTTTTTCTACTATTTCTTGTAATAAATAAATAAATAAATAAATAAGTGAAAATAATATAAAATTGGACATGAAAGACTACAATCAGATAGTATGAAAGAGAACGGATAGAATAAATTTCAGAAAACAAACTTACAAATAGCTGAGGGAATTTATCGTTATATTGTCGGGGTACCATAAACCTTATGAACTTGATTATTTTCGTCTAGGAAGTAATATTACAAGAGAAAAATTATTTTTTCCATAGCCAATTATAGATCTTCGAAGCTAAAGAATTCGAATTTATAGGTATGTTGCTTATATTTTGAAATCGATTATTTCGCTTCAACAGGGATAAAAAAGTGATTTGCGCTGAATTTTTCTAAATATAACATAATATTTTCATAGTCGAGGAAACCAAATCTATAGTTAGTTTTTTGTGGTTCTAGAACTAAGAAAATAAATTTAAAGGTTTTAAAAAACTATCTATACATCTGGATTCTTCAACTGCGAAAACCTTCAATTGACTGTGAAAAAATTCATTGTTTTCTTGTAATATTACTATCTGTACGAAAATAATCAAACTTCTAGAATTTTTACCAGTTAGATGATAGCGCACCTGCTTGGTAACGTTAACTAGACACCCCTATTTACAAATCGAGCTTATTCTATTTGATTGTAAGCGATTCTACGACGAATGAAACTTGCTATTAGCATGTCGTTTGACATTCTTGAAGAATTCTGATTCGATGTCATGAGTTGGTTCAAGTTATATTTCGATAAAAGAAGTTTCAGATCTCAACAATGGTGTAGACATATTTTTAGTGAAAAATCTGTGCCTTGAAAAACAGTTGATCGAATAATTTCAAAAGGACTATTGAAAAACCATCGATGAATTCAAGTATCAGCGTTCTGAATTCAAATTCTTTGAAATCGATAGGTCGTTCTTGTTCTTAAAATGAATCGATTATCAGAGTTCCTCTAAAAGTTCTTTGAAAGAAAAAAAAATAAAACGAAAAACTCTTAATGAATAAGGTTTTTAAAAAAAATTATTATTCCCTCTAGAAGCATTTATGTATGCTTAAGTAGTGTGGTCAAATGTAGAAGAAAATTGTTTGAAAATTTAATTGAAATCTGAGATGCGCTAAAACGTTTCCGCTTACTTTATTGGAAACATTTTTCTGTTACGTCCTGTTGTAGAAAACCGTGCTAATTTTATCTCTATGAAAAAGGTCGTCCGTGGAAGTTTTCATTGTAAATTAATAGAACACAAGCGTCTCTGTCATAGTCCGTGTGATTTATTTATGAGGTCTTTTCAATTTTGTGTGAAAAAAATGAGCTTTTTTATCATGTTGGTGAAAAGTACCCTTGTTTTACTATTAAGTCTCAGGGCATTCGTGAATGGATGAGGGAAGGATTTCCCAATAATGAGAAGTTTTCTTTTTTCATCAGTGTATTGTTTCGACAATATAGCAAGCTTTGATCATCAGCGTCATTAACACTTTCAGTGAATGGAAAAAAACGGACTTGATTGATCACAGTCGAATTATGAGAATGAAAGAACAGTTCGCAGCAACAGCCGCAGAAAGAATACAACTCCCAATGACGCATTAGCATTATTTACTCACGATTTCATCGTACTTCAAATTGCTTACTTTACAACAAAAATAGAAATAATATAAAAAGACGCAGAAATGAGTCGTTAAGTGAATATGTTTAGTGAAGCGATGGCGAGCATTTTCGGTCGAAGAGTACTAATACATGTTCTGATGAAAACGACGCAATACATTACTAAGATTTCTGAGTAATTATGAGTCATACTTTGGTAGTGACATATTGATTGCCACTATATTTGGATATTGAAATACGTAAGAAAAAAATATATACTCTGAGTAAAATGAATTACGTCCTTTTTTCATGAGTATAAAAAGCATCTACCTAGTGTTTCACTTTCATGTTATGTTAAACTACATTTACGATGAAGATCAAGCTTCTTCTGTTATTATTTCTCATATGCCTAGCTCAATTAAATTGTGGTAAACTTATTTCTATTAGATAATAAAACATACTTATCAAAACATGTGAATTACTTTTACAGCGCAACAATCCAGCGACTTATACAAATGTGTAGCATTGACGGACCCTCATATGCAGACTTGGCATCTCAACGGTCAAAATGGCGGTATTTACAAAGATTGTTTTGGTGATGGTCTGTATGATCTTGTGACGAACAATTATGTTGCATTCAAAATTCGTGTACAAAGAAAATGGATTATTGAGGTAAGCCTAATTATATTTATTCAATTCTCTATCTATTTTACTCTCTCGTTATAGTTTGATTTGATCTTTTTCAATGGTTCAAGTGTCAAACCTATATGCACAATTGTCTCCACAAACTTTCAAGTGGCACCTAGTGATGATTGTCAACAATATGGTAAAATAAAAATAAAACTTGAATATATTTGAAGAAAATGAATTTATTTCAGGGATTCTGTATGATTTTTATGAAACTATATCTTCATGGGCGGTTACCGTTACTTATCTTCAAGCAGGCTTCTCAATGATCACCACACATGCTGTATGTTGAAATGATGATATCAGTCCTGTTAGAACTTTTGAAAGATAGTGAATAAGAGTAGATCTTATTGATCAATCATCTCACGAGTGTATGTAGTTCAGAATCATTCAGAAAAATATAGAAATGATCAACATAGTCATTTGCAGAATGAAATATGAATAGGTATGCACTAGTATCAGTACTATATTGAACACTTTGTTCAGATTCAACATCACTTGATAAGCATAATTAATTGGGTCATTATCTTGCATCATTTTTAACAGATGCAATCTTTGTACAATTTTAAACGCAACGCTGGTGTGACTAGCAACGAAAGCGGATGAAAGAATGACTGGTTAGGTTGGCTATATCCTCTGCTATAGAAGCCTTCAATGTTCTAGTGATAGTTTTGTGACCATATAATTGTTTTAATGAGACTATAACTGTTTACACTACAGTTAGTATGTCTATAGAGTCGTCGCACTTGTATTGTCTTTAGCGTCAATGTTTTACCATGATGAGTCGAATGGATACTGAGTCTTTTCAAGTGATTGTTTTACTGAATATCGAAGATAAAAAGAACAAATATTTTGTTTTTTAAAGCAATTGTTAACAAGTGCTAACGTCTACAGAAAGAAGAGTAAATATATTCCCTTTCTCGGCTGCGTCATAGACCGTGATAAACGTGGTGATAAGTTACATTGATCACTAAAGGAACTCCATCTTATTCCACATCTTAATTCGACCCAGATTGCGCTGAAATCTTTCTTTTACACTAAGAAAAACTGGTTACAAAAAAACAAACGAATCATTAGAGGTATAGTTTTTTGTTTGTTAATATTATGTTAGGACATTGTTACAAAAAAAAACGCTTTAAGATACAACTTTGCTGTCATCGTTCAAAGCTTTTAGTTAAAAATATATTCTAAATTTTTATTGCTCGAAAGTACGAGTATTTGCCTGAACACCTATTGATCCACGAAATCAATTGATGAAACAACAGAACAAGACTATCCGTTTGTATTATGATTTACTGTAATATATGATGTTCGGATATCAACAATTATTAACACACTACTACATAAAATTTCTTTCATTAACCAACAAGATTCTTTTTGATAGAGGGACGCCAATCCGAGCCATCTTAATATCAATGTGTTTCAAACAAAAGATCTGACCGACATATCAACTGGTATTTGCACTGGTCCATCATGCGAATCAGATAATCAAACTTCACTCGAACCACCAGGACCGCCACAGGAAACAATCACGCCAGAGGAGGCCGAACAGATTTGCAAGCTGTACTTGAACAATTATTTAGACAATATCAGTCAACAAGGACCGGATCACCGAAGCCTCCTACAAAACAGTACAATTGAAATGGTTTATAAAGCTTGTCTGTATGATGTTGTCGATACTGGCATTCATGGAGTAAGTCAATCGAGACAAATTTCTGAAACTTTGAATATCATTTAGGCTGCTGCGGGTGGCATAGAAATATTAATGATTGAAGAACTCACAGCGAATATAACCAGATTGGATGAAATTCAAACTAGTGTCAATATGGGTATCTTAAGAGCACTCGAGGAACTCAATAATGTCACCGCAGAATCTGAGCTCGAAGTTCAAAACATACACAACGACAGCTACACGGTAAATCTCATACTAAACTTAGATGAAACAGATTCGTATTAACTATTGTTTACAGACGGAAATGACAGCAGCAACAGACACTACTACTGATGCCACGGCCACTGATATTATCACCACGTCGATCAGTATGCCTGAGAGTCCATCAACTACTCGTAAGAAGAAACTATATTTCCGTCGAATATGTTCTGATTATCAACAAAATTTCAACATATTAACATACGTTTTTATTTCATCTACACCTAATTAACCATCTATAGTTACAATCGAATCCGCAGACATTTTTGTATTTTCCACGACACATTTACGATCTTTTAGATCAGTATATTCACTGGCATATTTTAAACCTAAGAGAGTATAGTCAACACTTGCAATTCATACACGACAAACATAGGTCACACAACATTTAACGAATATTTTTCGTTGTTTTTTCCAGCAGATTCAAACAGATCTATCAACAGTCACAAAAGGTAGACAGTCACCTAGGACTAAGAGTGGCTTATTGAGTAAATCAGATGCTGTAGCCTATCGGCCATTGAGTGGTATGTCAAAATTAGTTGATTTTCTTTATATGGTGTTAAGTTCAATACATGAAGTGTTTTCGTAAAGATTTGTTCGATCAGCTCATTCTGTATGATTTACTACTCAGATTTTTGATAGACGCTTCTTGCATTCACTTTTTCTTCATCTTTAAGTAGTTTTCATGTCGGATTTGACTAAGAATCATTGTCAGTTCATTCCACTAGAAGAAAGCCTTTAGTAAAATCCATGTGATATTCAAATACAAGGTACAATGAATGTATTTCAATTGTGTCAAAAAGTATTTTTTCCATGTTCATCCCAAAATGTAATGAGTTCCTTCGTTATGCCAATCACAGTCTGAAGCCAGGTTAATAGAACATAATCGATCGTGTGAGAAACCATTTTAACTCGTTGATAGGTTGATATAGACAAATCAACCGTGATTGTTTTTAAGACACATTTGTAATGAATCTTGATGTTAGAAAATAGTTGGGTCATCTTCTTCACCCGACACTCTGTCACAGTCCTTGGAGGCAGCAACAGACGTTTTCAATATGCTACGACTCACAAATGAAACGTTTCCATCAAATTTTAGACTTTAGTCTCATAGCGAGTACATTGAAAATTTTTCTTTCATGGCATACTTATCTTTTCGTTTCTAACATATTTCACATTCAGCTAGAATCCTATCTATTTGTGCCTTGAACGATTTGATCTAAACCAGTCTAAAAAAAAAGAGAAGTCCAAAAAGTCTTTCAATGGGAAAGATCTTTTAGATGCAAATTACAGTTCAGATATTCAAAAATTTCGTGGCGAAACTCACTTATAATAGAAAAGTTTTTCTAAAACTAGATCAAAAACCAAAGTCTTTCTTCACTATTTTCTCTTCCTTTCTATTTAGCTACAATATGCGTTCCGACATGTGCTTCTCATCAACAGTGCATATCTGGTGTATGTGTTGGACGAGGATCATTATCATTTACATTGACATGGAGTAGAGCAGGTGATGGGGATATAATTGTTACGATCCCGAATGGAAATACAATAATGTACAGTCAACGAGGTCCTAATTTCCTAACCAATTATGGTCAGTTAGATGTAGATGATCAAAGAGGCACGGGTCCGGAAAATATTTATTGGAATTCAACGGAACCCGCTTCTGGGACCTATCAAGTCTGCTTTCAACAGTATTCATTCAACACATTTGCCACTCCAACTGATCCTATAACTGCTGTAGTTGAAGTAAATCGGGCTGGGCACGACCCGCAAACATTTAGGAAGACATTCACACAACGTATGCCGTTTCCTCTGCCAAATAATTGTCAGGAATCGTATGATACCTATTTGGGATCAATTGTTTATTGAAAAAGACATTCTGAATATATTTACATTGTTCGCTTGATTTTATATTAACCAAGAATATATAAATAAAAGAATACGAGCGCTTTGATGTACTCACTAGTACTGTTACGTGTCATGAAAATACATATGTTGCATAAATAAAACCTTTTGAGTTTCTAGCAGTCGAGCCAGCAATATCTTATCAAAATGAAAACTCATAAATGTTAACGGCATCCTAGTATACAAGTAATCAAGTTTGTTATGTAAGATTACAAAAAGAAGTAGAAAATTTGTGGATACATCACATTACTTGTTCTATGTATCTTTGTCTTGTACATATGCTCATCGAGAGAGAGTTTCTTTCTTTTTTTGAGAAAAATGATTGAAAACGAGTATTGAAATATATAACGAGAAAGTTGGACTCACCATTCTCCCTCCATTCTACAGACTGTGACAGACATGTCGTCATGGTATTATACCTTTTGAACTACAGTGTTATCCACTAGATGGAAAAGCCCAGAGACTAGAAAGTTAAATTAAGACCAAAAATGTGTGAGTGTGTCTGCCTGTAACACGTCTTACATGTATTCCATGCAATCAAGGATTCAGATCGTGTTGAACGTGATGACAAGAGATAGAAACATTCATATTCATTTAGAAAGTGATTAAATAAGAATCCTTTCACCAGGATCTTCCCACTTTTACAGTAACCAATTTCGAATTTCATGAAACGTTTACGGCTTGTACAATTTTTGTGCTAATTGTTCTTGTATCAAAAAATTTTAACTTCGTATTAAAATAATAGAGAAATAATTGAAACATTTTATACCCATATTTTTCAGAAATATTAATTACAAAAAGGAAACTTTTACGTCGCTTTAGCTGTTCTTCAATCTAATACTTTTTATATATAAAAATTCTTTCATATTCGAATAGTCTGATCAAAACCGCTTAAAAGAATCCACTTAAGAAACATTCAATAGTTGTACTCTTTACGTCAAAAGACACAATATTCTTGTCTAGAAAGTTTGTTCCAGAACTTGGACGAAGATAATTCTGAATTAACTGTGGTTTACAATATGATGTGGTATGTAGATGTGGATGAACTGAAGAGTCACACTCACGCGCCGATTCCAAATTTATTAGCTAGTTTTATAAATTTTTTTTTGTTAAATATTTCCCATCAGCAGCATCTGAAATTTTGTCAATATCTTCTTCGAAAGCGTTATTCGCAAGACTTTTAATTATTTCCGGACTTGGAAAACTTTGAATATCAATTAAAAATATTCCTCTTGTGAAATGAGGATGTACAGAGGACCATCCACGCGCATCATGCATCGATACCCTAGAGCACTAGTAAAAAGAAATTCTGTTCAAAATGCAGAAATAGAAAAGACAGTTCTTTTTTTTTGGCGATTAATTGTGCTTGGAAAACAACCATCATCTTCTATGAAAGAAGGAAAAAGAAGAAAGAACAACCCTGCAGCATTGGATGTTATCTAGTAGTATTTGTAGTAACTCGACATCTTCCGTAAAACTAACAACAGCTATAGCTCTAGACAGAAGGTCCACCTGACGCAGAATTATTGAGCTCAATTGCTTGAAGTCTGCATAAACACTAACTATTCACATTCTATCCGCAAGAGCAAATGAATATTACAACGTAATCGACATACTATCAGACGGGTGATCCGAGACAAGCAATCGTTTGACTTGTTCAATCTTATCCCATCACTAGTGAAATGGAGGGTTGAGAGCAGTACCTTGCGGATACGTGTCAAACAACGTAACCACTTAGTCACTACGGCATCGTCTGCTAGAAACTTTTCACTTCAAGTATATTGTATTAGTATAATGAGGCTAAAGAACACATATAAGTTCCATATTTCATTCCCACATGGACTACACTAACACACTTTTTGATACAGTTTGGCGAGGTAATATTGAAACATCATCACTTGAGGATGATCAATGCCGAACGTGTGACGGGAAATATCGACAGCACGTGTTTCATATTCGATTGCCTTTGTGTATAGACCAAGATCTTCGAATACATGTGCCATGTTATGGTAGGTTGATGCTAGCGACGGATGATGGGCTGGAAGAGCTTTCTGCTGGATTTCAAGTGTCTTTTGGTAGTATGATAATGCAGTTGAGTTGTCTCCCATAGACCGATGTACCAAACCAAAATTGTTGTAAGTAATAGCCAGATCGGGATGATGAGGTGGAAGACATTTTTGTTCGATAGCAAGTGTCTTCTCATAGTATGAAAGTGCACTTGAATTGTCTCCCATTAATCGATGCGCCTCACCAATGTTGTTGTAGGTAGTACTCAATGATGGATGATGCGGAGGAAGAAATTTCTGTTTAATTTCTAGCGCTTTTTGATAATATGAGAGTGCAGTTGAGTAGTCTCTTATCGAATAATGCACTACACCAATGTTGCTGTAGGTTGCAGCAAGCAATGGACAATTTCGCGGAAGAACTTTTTCTAGGATTTCAAGTGACTTTTGATAGTATGAAAGCGCAGTCGGGTAATTTCCCATCGATTGGTGAGCCAAACCAATGTTGTTGTAAGTAGTAGCCAGCGATGGGTGATAGGGTGAAAACGCTTTCTGCTCAATTTCAAGCGCCTTTTGAAGGTACGAGGGTTCAGTCGAGTAGTCTCCCATCGATCGATGCAATTGACCAATGTTGTTATAGGTGATAGCTAGCTGTGGATGATTGGATGGAAGAGATATTTGTTGAATTTCAAGCGCGTGTTGAGCGAACCGGAGTGAAGTCAAATAATCTCCCATCCAATGATATGTAAGAACGATGTTGTTGTATATGGTAGCCAACAATGGATGACAGGGTGAAAGAGCCTTCCGATTAATTTCAAGTGATTTTTGATAGTATGAGAGTGCATTCGAGTAGTCTCCTATCGATCGATACAGCTCACCAATATTGTTGTAAATGATAGCCAGTGATGGGTGATTGGACGGCAGAACTTTCTGCTGGATCTTAAGCGCCTTTTGAACGTACAAGAGTGCACTATTGTATTCTCCCATCGCATCATACAAAATGCCAATGTTGCTGTAGGTGATAGCGAGTAATGGATGAGTAGGTGGAAGAACTTCCTCCATAATTTCAATTGACTTTTGATAGTAGGACAGTGCACTCAAGTAGTCTCCCATTGATCGAAGCACTTGGGCGATATTGTTGCAGATACTAGCTAGCCATGGATGATTCGGTGGGAGACCTTTCTGTTGAATTTGAAGTATTTTTTGCAGATACAAAAGTGCAGTCGAGTAGTCTCCCACTCGATTATACAATTCGGCAATGTTATTGTAAGTGTCAGTCAGTAATGGATCATTGAATGGAATAAATTTTTGCCTGATTTCAATTGTTTTTTCATAATGTGCGAGTGCATCCAAAATATCATCCTTCTCTTGGAGAATATATCCGATCTGTCCATGTAGAAAGGCAAGTTGCTCTAATTCATCGTTGAATGTCATTTTCAGTTGTGTTTGGTAGACTTTTTCGGCTTTGGTCAGTTCGCCCATCCTAATCAATAACTTGCCGAGCCTATTTAATCCAGTGGTTCCTTGAATTTCACCTCGCATGTGTTCAGTAAGACGCTTGAGCTGCTCATCATTATCATTCGTCAATGTTAATGTCACTTCCCACAGATTCTCCTCCATTTGTTTCATCTCACCAATTCTAAATACGGTGTGCATTGAGAAGAGAATTTCTTTTTCTGTGTCACTGAAATAGCTAATATCATTCAATGACGCGAATGGAGACGATGAAATCAATGGATCAATATCTAATCGAAAGAGAATCCCAGTCAAATCAGGATTGTCGCGAGCACTATCTGCAAAAGCCAATGAGACTTCTCGATCGACACTTGTCGACAGAAAATTGTTGAAAGAGAAAAGACCACCCTTGTTTGTCTTCATTTTGTCGAAATCGGTATTTAACATGCCTTGACCTCTGTAGATGGTCATTTTTTCGATTGCCTTTGTCGTCAAGTGCACATGTTCGATTTGTTGGTGGAGATCTTTCACGTAAAATCCCATTGTGATAATGATGTCAATGTCCTGTGTTCTAAGAGCTTTATTAAGAATCGAATAAATGAATGAGTCTCTAGTATACCACCAAATAGGTGAATGCAGATGATAGTCTCGTTCGAATTCATCAATTACACCCAGTTGGAAATTATTGTCAGAATATAGAACACGGCAGAAGTCGACGAATTCTTTCTTTGCCATGTCATCATATTTCATCTCGAGTAGGGTCTCTTTGAGTAATTGTGAATACATAAACGATTGATCGAGTTCATTCAAATCAACAACAGAAGAGACAGGCACAATACTGATGGGAATCAAATTTTGTTCGCACTGTCGAGTATTTCGTTTGAGTTGATCACCAATAAGCGATACGTCAGTAACGACGGCTTTGACTTTTCTCCACTCTTTGAAGTTCTGTTCATGATTGACGGCATTGATATAAACGATATAAATCGAATCGATTTGAGGCACATCATGAATAAGTGGCACAAATGTTTCACTGATCTCACCCGATACAATGAGAAAGACTTTCTGATCTTTGACATCAGTGAGAAAATCAACACATTTATTAATGTCAGAGAATGTTTCGATCGAATTGACAATACGTCGAAGTTGACTCATCGAATTAAAATAATTAATATCGAATTCATTGAAGTTCGAACCCAACCAAATGACAATAAAATTTTCGATAGTACAAGATCGTACAGACCGTGTTGAAATGTTCTTCTTTGCCGAATCTTCTCCAGCATTAATTTGTAACTCTTGCAGCATTGCCACTTTTATGGATCGACTAGAGTATTGTATTTGTCTGATCTAAAGATATTGTTCTAGTGAAATTTGAGTTTTTATTGTGTATCATATACCTTTCAGCAATGAAATTTTGTGTGCGTAATTAATGGAGTGTCTTTTTTATAATTTTTTACTTAATAATCTGAAATACATCACCGTATAACTGCACTGTACAAATGCGCTTCTTACATTTTTTCTTTCTGTTGTCACGCATCGATAACACGCGTTGTTTCTTTCTTTGCTTCGTTACGTGTATTCTCTCTGGCATGCTTGTTTATTACTCACCATGGTGCTTTTAGCGTTTATTTTTACTTTCTCTCGTTCGGGTTTTCGTTTTGGAAAATAAAAGATAATCGAAAAATAAATCTCGGATTTGAAGAATTTCTCTTTCGTTCGACCGTTCGACATAGTGAAGTGTGATACATGATAATTGAAAAACATCATGATCAGAGATAATTACAGTGTTTTACTTTCATTTCGTAATTTCTTCCTTATTAAACAACATATGAATATAAAATTTTGCTAAAATTTACAAGAAAAAAGAAAACAAACCAAGAGAATATGGAAATCATTTAGATATTGATGAATGTCACTCACATCATTAATTTATCTGATTTCTTTTTATTACCTACATAAAAAATTGGACATAAGAAGCATAAATTTATCAATATTTATCTTTAAAATTATATTATTTCTATGCTTATAACTATTTTACAAAATATGTGTACTTTCAACATAGAAATGAATAGATTTATATAATTGTTTTTTTCTTTTGTAAGTACAATTCGTTTTATCATTAATTCTACTGCGAATTAATAGAAGTATTTAAAATAATAATATATCGATTGAATTGTGGAATGTTCGTCAATAAAAATTTTTATTTTACTTTTTTTAAAATAAATATTGTTTATAGCCTAAATGGCATTTTAGACGAATCTATTTTTGACATATCTCTCAGGAGGATTCGAGTCGAACTTTTCCATAAAAATAAAAGATGCCGTAGCAATTTGAAATATATATTGATTGACTCAAATCTTTATGGTGAACACGATTCTGATGTTCGATTCTTTTAATTTGAGTACTAGTAAACAACAGATACTTGAAATGTGATTAATTTTTAGCCCAAATTAGCGTTCTCATGGGAGCCTGTGCTTCTTTGAGATGTTTTTCTCCATTGATATTTGAAGTTTCATTGATAGATTTTATAGTCCATGCAAAGAGCTCTTAATGATGAAAAATGGTAATGTTTGCTCTTGTTGTTGAAGACCCACACCAAAAGTGTTTGATAGACTAAAGATGAATTTTCGAGATCTCTGAGGGCCATATTTCGGCTATAAAATCAGAGGAATTAGAGATTAAAATTCTTTTTTTATATAAATAGGAGTCTCATATCAGATTGGTCAGGGTAGTAATTTAGCCCCACAAAACACCTTATAGTTGATCTTGCTCGAACTTTTTATTTATCAGTTGAAAAGTAATAAACTTCATCAGAAAAGATGTTTTTCTCAATGTGATTTTTCATTCGACATAAGAGAGTGAATGTTCCAGTGGAAAAAGTCGTATACGCCGACTTGCGATCTTATAATCTTCTCATCTTTTCATCATTGATTGGATCATGATATCGAAACAATTAACGATCATTTATATAAAACAAATAACGACACAAAAAATACTATACAGACAAAAACATATATTAATGATTTTTAGTAACGATAGTTTTGTCACACATGTGGTCAGTAACAGGATTCAGTGGTATTTCATTATTTTTGCGAGTTAATAGTAATTCATCAGTTAATAGTGCTGCACCTACTCGTGTACTTCCTGTTGGTTGATCTAATGCATCTTGATTAACAAAACTTAATTGAAATTGAGTTGATGTATTAGCATAGAACATTGGAATCCATATAATTGATGTTTTAGCAAAACAAGCACAAACGAAAATGGTCATTGGTGGTAAGGCATAATCTTTACCTCGAAATGCTGAAAGAAAAAATGCCACTGCATAAGGAGTCCATGTAAAAATAAAACCAATAGTCGTAATTATAATAACTAAATCAAAAATTTATAGTATTATGAAAACTTAGTCAACAAGAAAACAACTGATATTTTCTCGAAACAATTTTATTCAATAATAATAAATACTTACTTTTAAGAATGCGTCGTTCCATTTCAATTCGTCTTTGATTAAATACTGTCTGAAAACCATTTTTTATTTTTTCATGCATTTGTTTAAGTCCAAGCCAAGTAACTGTATTTGCAACAATTAGTATTATTAATGGAATACAATAGACAACAATGAAAAGAAAAAAAATGAATGCAACATAAGAAGGACGTCGATCGTACCAATTAATACAGCACGAAGTACGAGTTCCCTAAAAGAAAAATACAAACAAACATTGCATTTCAAAATGAATATGTTTTAAATTGGTTATATTAAAAAAACAATTAAAGAACACTAACCTCCATTGTATATTCATTCCATCCCATTACTGGTAACATAGTCCAAATAAAAGCAACAAGCACGACAAGACTGGAAATAATGACACTATGTTTCACCTAGAGTCATTTTAATATAAATTTTTTTGTTATCAACACCTATTATTTACTCACAGTAGCATTTTTAGCTTGAAATGGTCGAGCAATAATATAACATCGACTAATACTTGCTCCACAGAGTAAATACGAGCTTGAACATCCATATAAATATGCAATGATAGCGCTTAATTTGCAACCTGCACGTTGATATAACCATTGGCAATAAATTGACGATGTACCTGTCATTGGAAGAATTGTGCATGAAGCAAAAAGGCCCATTACGACAATAAACATAACGAATATATTTGATGGTGAACGAAGAGCCCTGTATCGTATAAAACTGTAAAGTAGACCTCCATTGAAAACAATACCAATCAACATAGCAATACATAAAAATATGCCAACAATACGAATCATATTACAATCAACTGGTGTTGGACGATTCCAAAATAATGGATCATCAGGAGAAAGATTTGGATCAAGAATTGAAGAATAATTGAACCACATTGTCAATGTTTTTCTTTGAATAAAATGACTATATGTTTATTTCTACTTTTCTCTATAATTAACTAGATTTAACATAGAAAGAGACGCAAGTATATTTTATATTCATAAGTAAGCATTTTCTCGTTGATGGCTCTTTCCGGCAGATGTAACCTAGTCAATGTGAATAAGCCTTAGTCAAAATATTATAGTACTCTGCTATTATGAAAACTAGAATCACTGTAAAACACTGATTACAGATAGAAAGTGTATATACTTCAATCTTTATCATGACAACTAACACTAATCATTTTGAATTTTCTTTCGGCATTGTTTGCGAAACACAATTGAACTAAGACAAGTTCTTTCTTTTACTTTTCAGGCGTAATGAAGATTTCTTATTAAAAACAAGACGATTAAGAGCTTTTCTTATGACACAAACTTTGTAAAAAAAAAAAAAAAATTAATAAAACATTTAAAACTTAAGAAGATTAATTAGCTTCTATTTATGTGTTCTTCTACGTATATATGACAAAATCAGTGCTATTATTTTCATGAAGATTTCAAGAAGGCAAAGAATAAAGCTAAGTGTTGATATCATATTAGTTTTACGACAAAGATAGCTTTTCTAATTTCCTTTAGAATAATTTGGAAGATTGCGCATAAAATAACTACGTGCATCTGCTGACTTTTTTACGACGTATCATACTTTATGTTTCATACACTTGTAATGTTTTTAAATAAGAAACATAAGTGTCATTGCTTTAATCAACACGTTTTTCTTTTGATACCTTTAGTGCATAATAATTGAGCGTAAAATTTATGACAACACGACTTTGATTATTGACAGTTTTATTTTGACAAATGAGATAAAATGATTCATTTGAACTATAAAACTTCAAGAAGTTCAAAAAAAAAGACAAATCCTCAATTTCTACATAATTGAAGGAAGAAAAGAAAACGCATTTCAGATAAGATCAATGAGAACACTTCGTAGTACTGATAAACAAACTAAAGATTTTTCTAGAAAAACAATTCAACACATGTGAAAGGATTATGATCAATTATAGGCAGTATTCTTCGGATCATTATTCTTATCAGAGATCGAAACGAATAAAAAATTTTCAATGCAGATGCGATTTCGGTTTAGATTGAATTCAAAAAACAAATCATGCAATTTTACGTACTATTCAGTTTTTCACAATGTTTCTTCCTGACAATGACAGTTGTCTATCAACTGCATTAGAATCTATGTACTTTATACTTGTCAAAGTATATTTTACACAATACAAAACCAAGTATTAATTTGAATTTTTTTCCAGCAGGAGCCATTGACCACCTACTATAATTAGAGAGTAAGGTACTGGATATATGATTTGATAGAGTTTGACAAGCTGGTCACGAATATGCAGTTTTTATTTCTATTTGACCACGGTTTTGTTTGAAAACAAAACATGAAAAACGCAAATAACTGAAAATTTACCATTGATATTTATGAACTCGATTTTTTTAAAACCATATAAAAACATTTTATTGTGATTAAGCATCAAAAATTGAGTAGAAAAAGAGTTCTTTGATTAGATTCAAACTTATATAAATTTTAAAAAAATCCTGTCAAACAAAGATAATTACAACATTCCTCATAGCATGTATTTCTGAGTATTTTTATAAACATATCTGGTAACCAGAGATAGAAGCTAGTGCCTTATTTTATTAGAATCGACAGATAGTAGGCTACCAAATTGCCTCTTTAGTTTGTTTAGATTTTGCTTAATTGTTGAGAAAATTGAATTTTTTTCTGCTTTGTTAGTGGCATTAAGTGAAATAATAAAAAATATGTTAGTGTTCAATGAGTTTTATTATCATGATCTAGCGAAGAAGTAAAATAGATAGGATATATTGAGTCAATATCGAAAATTGTATCAAATTATATATGTTTAAGTAAAAAGTATTTTCAATGGAAAACACACCTGTGGTTTTTCTCAGATTCAGTTTTCTAAAATTTTGTTTCTAATCTTCCAGGAGTAAGTTTTTCGCATGAAAGTAGAAGTGACAATAATTTTGATCACGAAAATTTTCATCCTCTATTTCACATTATTATTTGTCAATGAAGTGTAGATATTTCCTAAGATCGACACAACGTCACTTTGACATGCTTCGATATCCTCACTGTCATCTAGATCAATTAGTTACAGGTATCCTTCGTTAATACTTCTTCAGACCAGTGACGTCGCAGCACGCACATCCTTTGATACACTCTACCTGTTAGTTTAATTAGTGTATAGTGTTGTCAATCTGAAAAAGAACCATACTTTGAAATGGATATGTAGCATTTTCATCGACACATGTACTCCATTTCACAAATTGCTTTGATCATACATTAATCTGTTGTATCCCCGAAAACAAAGTGTTGAATAAATATCGATGAAGAATTGTGCGGATCGTGAAATATTCTTAAAATATATATGACTTGACGCAGTTTTCGATGTTGACTCTAAATATCCTATCTATTTTGCTTTTTGACTAGACCGTGATAATAAAAACCATTGAACACGAACACGTTTTTTTTTATCATTTCACCTAATGTCACTACCAAAGCAGAAAAAAAATTCAATTTTCTCAACAATTAAGCAAAATCTAAACAAACTAAAGAGGTACTTTTGTTGCTTACTATCTCTTAATTCTAATGAGAAAAGACACTAGCTTCTATCTATGGTTATTAGATATGTTTATAAGAATACTTACAAATACGTGCTCTGAGGGATGTTGTAACTATCTCTGTTTGATAGGATTTATTTGAACCTTATTCAGTGTATATCTAATCAAAGAACTCTTTTTCTACTCAATTTTTGATGCTTAATCACAATAAAATGTTTTCATAAGGTTTAAAAAAATCGAGTTCATAAATACCAATGCTAAATTTTCAGTTATTTGCATTTTTCATGTTTTTTTTTCAAACCAAACGGTGGTTAAATAGAAATAAAAACTACATATTCGTGGCCACCTTATCAAGCTCTATCAAGTCATATTTAGATGAATGAGAAAAAAATCACTGAAGTTTTGCATTTTCGGCACCTTACTAGAAAATGAATATCATTGTTTAATAATGAACGTTTTATGGTAGGTATTTAGTTTCATATAAGTAAAGAAGGTAGATATATGCAAACGTTTTGTGCAAGGTAAAGCAAATAAAGACGCTCTCTTCAAGTTGAACACAATTATTGGGGAAAAGGACTACAGATTACTAACATAAATATACTTTATAAACTAAAAAAAACCGAAAAATGGAAGAGACATAAAACTATTCTTTGTTAACGATAATCTTTTATGCAAATCAATCAATTAAACTTGCATGCAATAAATAATGTTCTTCAGAATAAAATTAAATTGAAATTAATTGACATATTACGACATAAACTTTATCTGATGGACAAGAATATGAAAGAAATTATTCTTGTATTTTTAATTCTTGAAAGTTTACCTGTTACTGAATTCATTAAACAAACTTTGATATTTAGTTAATGTTATAAAACTATTTGAATACGATCATACAGAAAATCTGAGTAATACGTTCATGCTATGTCGTAATGCAATCCCAAAGTATAAGTAGATTTGGTTAGTCAAAACTTGCAAGTCGTTATTACGAGACATTTTTGACAGGAAACTGCAAATTGATATTCTTTTTTTTCCAAATATTATTTCCGCGTCTATGATAATGAGATTAAGAGTTATTTTGTGTTTTTGTTCACTAGCTGTGATCAGGATGTTGAAGAGTCTACTTTAATGACAATACTTTATTTTAAAATAACAAGCAAAACCATTTTGTTTTTCAAAACTGTCCGATTATATCTTTTGATGAAAATTAACATGAGTATCGTATGGATTATCCTTTCTGTTTGATGTACTTTTGTAGTCAACTTTCTCCTGAGTCAACTAATTTCTTCGTAATTTTACTCCCTATTGAATCCTTAATCTTATCACATTGCAAAGAAAATACTACAAACGTATCGGTTATTTTTTTTTCCTTCATCTAATGACTTTATAATTAAACTTTTGAAAATCCTAAAAGAACGAAAAATGTCATCGTTATCGAAATCTTATGAATAATTTTTGCGTCTAAAACATGAATGTTTTTAAAAGATTGATTTCGTATTGAGCATAGTTCCAATCTACAATGTTGATTTTTATAGTCTAAATACTTTGTGACACGGTATTTTTTTTTTTCATATTTACCAAATATTATAAAGTCTGTGTTTTGACTATGTTCGATGAAAAAAGAAATTGCACGAATAATTTTGCCGCAACTGTATATTCATTAATACAAATGATTAAATATAACGCATTTAGAGGACACTTGTGTGAAAATATTCAATATTTTATTACTTTTTTTTTATTAAAACTATTTAGATTAACATTTTCTACAAACGAAAATATATTGAAACTATTTCGTAATATTAATTTTTTTCTACAATTGCATTGAGTTGTCAATCAATTTTACTCATCATGCATATCATAGATAAACGCTTTTTATGTGATTCGAACGTATAACTCATATTTTTTCATGATTTGTTCAGTAGTGTCATATTTTTAAAGTTGAATTCCATTATTGAAGACCTTTCCAGATATTCAACTATTTAATTATCGATTAAGAATGATGTCTTGCGTATGTCTTCGTCAAATTCCCATCAAGAGACATGCTTTATGTGAGGTTTTTCGCACATATCTAAATATCTGAGCTCATTATTAGAATGATTGAATATCTGAATTTCAGATTTTCAGATATAAGACATTCAATAATTGAACTCAAGCTACATATTAGAGATATAGGTGATTTCCCCAGTATTTTGATTACATTGTTCATAACAAGAAAAGAATGACTAAAAAAAACTGATTAGATATTAAAACCAGAGTGTGGATCTTCCCATGAGCCGCGCTTGTACTCACAGAGCAACACCCCATAGTGGATTAAAATAAATTATTAGATTAATCATGAATTAAATTTATTCAAGACATTACCTTATTTTTAAAAAGACATTTTTTTCTATAGAATATAAACTAATTCTAGAAAAATAAATATTAGTAAATAATTTCAATATGTTTTCGTTTATAGTAAATATTAATCTTAATTATTTTAAGAAGAAAACTAATAAAATATTGAATACCTTCACATAAGTATTCTCTACATGCATCAAATTTAATTATTTGTAATAATGAATATATATATATAAATCTTAGTAGTGTTAATCATTTACATTTTTTTTTTGATAAAAATTTGAAACTTATTCGATTCAATAATGATATAAAAATCAATAAAAATGACTTAAAAGATTTAAGTTAATGATCGTATTCAAAATATTTCTAAAATATTAACTAGAAACCAAGTTAGTTTAATGAATCTATTAGCAGATAAACTTTCAAGAATTAAAAATATAAAATTCATAGATGAACTAGAAGAATTTCGTTCATATTCTTGTTCATAAGATAAAATTTATGTCGTAACATGTCAATTAATTTCAAATTCATTTATTGTAAAGAACATCATTTATTCTTATTTCATTTTTTAAAATTCGAATTTTCGATTTTGTTGGAACATCTTTACTTATTCAGAACGATTTATTTGGAACTCACATATATTTTCGAAGAACACAATAAGTGTAAGTTTTTAATTGGAGCTTTGCAACTCCTCTCTTCTCTAGATCCTGGTAAGCGGAGTCAAAGATCATTAGGCATGTTTCTATAGTAATGACTGACGGCCGGGGTGGGGGGTGGGGGGCGGAGGTAGTAATGCTAGCTGTCACCTATGTTCTCTCTTTCTATTTGCTGTGTGTACATTTATCTATGTTTGTGATAGTTAATTTTGTTTTCTATACTTTTTCTCGTGCTCATTTCATTTTGATTACTTTCTCATTAGTGAAAACTCTTCATCACACACTTATCTTTGTCACGCACTCATTTCACTAACTATTTCTTCACCCTACATAATTTTACTTCATTATTAAGCTTTAATTCGAGTGCTACCTTCAGACAACCACTTCTTCATCTCTCTTCTCTCCCTAATTATCATTTTTTTTGTTCATTATTGTATAAAATACATTAATGAATCTTAATTGGCGTTTAAATCAAATTATCATCACTTTATCATGCGCACCTCAATGTGGCAGCTGCGATTTTATCTTGTTACATCTCCAAGGCTGCTGTGAAGAAAAACACCACAAGTCACTATTCACATTCCCAAAACGGTCGAGGACAACCGGTGTCAGATTTCTTTCCCAGAGTGCCTTAGTAACGAGAAAAGGCGTTGAACGACATGACTTAGAAGGTTCTAAAATTTTTTAGAATATTCTTAACTCTTCGTTGAAATTTGAATAGCTGGAATCGGTTTGCTAATGCTCTCAATAATGTACTTTTCAATATGATCCAACATAAAAAGTGTGAATTGATCAAGTTATGACTTTGAAAATAATCAACAGCAATTTTTATGAACCTATCGAGATAGGTAATAGTGTGTGCAGACTTATTTTAGATATAATCCATATGTACAATAGGCTTATTAGTCAATTAAATCAATAGTTAGAATAATAATACTGGTAAATTAAGAAAAACGAAATACGAAAATGAAACGCAAAAAAGTAAAAAAAAACCAAAAGCGTTAGTAAAACAAAAGGAAAACATTTTCTGTTTCAAATACAGAAATTAATAAGATAAATTCTTTTGGAAAATGCAAATTTCGTTTAATGGGTTTATTTATGTGTTTAATTTATATGAACAATCAGTTTTTCTAAGAAAATTCTCTCAGTAGAAAAAAATCAAATGACTATTTTTTCAAATCTGATTAATCAATGGATTTTGAAAAGAAGTTGCAAATTAATCAATAATATAAACTCCAGAATTATTGAAAGAAAATTTATTAATTTTAATGAAAAATTTTAGTGTTATACTTTTTAAAATATCAGATATTGTTCTTCTTATCACACATACTCTTGCTCTTTATTAATTACAGTTTTATCAAAAGAATTTATTTAGAAGAAACATCTTCCTATTCAACACAATACGTAAGAGATTGTCTCCATGGATTATTATCAGTTAAAGAAAATTCAATTAAGAAGTATTAAAATTCCTTTAAAATAGGAATAGGATCGAAGTATTTGTCTTTTTTAAATGAGCATCAAACTCTGCATGAATCCTTACATCCTTCGCTGATTATTCAAATATCTATTCGAATTTGAGTTAGATGTTCAGCATCATAGAAAAAAAATACCTTATTTCTTATCATTTTGAACATTATTGTGTGAGATTTATCATATACAATTACATTCGAATTGAAGATATTTGAATGGAAATCTAGTGAAATATATATGTCAAAGTTGACATAAAAATCTAGTTGAGTTTTGGAACACGCAAAATATACAACAGTTCACAAAATGAAGTTACATTAAATACAATAATTAAACAATTTTAACGTTTTCTCTGGACTTCTTTTCTTACTGATAGAAAAAAGCAAAAGATTTTTGTAATGTATCCATTGCGGTTTTTCTGGCTGCTCTAGTTTGTTTGCTATTAATTAGAAATAGAGATCACAGGAGTTGGTGTGTTATCAAAAAATCTGATCCGAAATGCATCAAGAACGATTATCTATCATATACTATCAATTATACTCTCTAGACAACAAATTTAACTTACAATTTCATTGGTGCTTACAATCATACATTATGCTCTAACATTATAATGATTAGACACATATATGGTGCCATTCACTTTTATTTTTAAAAATCGTCTACATCAACCTCTGCTCGTGTGAATCAACACTTTAGAAAAAAAAATATTGTTGAATTATGTATTCTATTGAATAAAAAAAAAAGTCAACTTATTATTGCCTATATATAGAATAGGAATTTACGCATGTGTCTATTAGCAAGCAAACTTCAGAATATAATTAAATTCTATTAACAATAAACAATTTTTTTTGTTTATACATTCACGATTTCTTTTATTACAAAACACTATTTTTATTTCAACTAAAATCTAAACTCACCTACCACATATATTCGAATAAGAAACAGAAAAAAAACAGACCTCTTTCATTAACAGAAAGAAAGGAAGAAAAGTGATGAATACTTACAGTAATATAGAGAGACGATGACGACGACATAGTTTAATCATGACAAAAGAAGCGAACATAGAAAATTTATTTTAACAAACAATAAAGCAAGACTGATTTAAATGACTATTTAGATATTTTTCAAAAGATTGCTTCAAACAAAGGTATAAGTTCGAAAATAGTTGTATAGATTAATATAATAATATATTATTAAATGAAATTCATGTCATGATTGAAGAATGATGAAATTTTTTTGTTAGAACTTGAACCAGTTTATTGTACTTTTCATGGTGTTCATCTTCAGTTGCTGGTCGCCTATCATCATTCAATGCATCAAAAAAGGTTCAGAATTGAGTATAAATGTATCGACAGCTACTGAACACTTTTTTAAATTAAAAATGTTAAAACACGCTCTACTGAACCGACAATTGGAGTAACTGAATGAAATTGTTGAGTATCAACATGCATTTTATTACCTGGAAAATGATAACGAGAGACTACATGACGAAGAGTACCAAATATTGCCTTAGCCGAACTCAATACATTATCTACATTTCGAGCAAACTGATATCTGATTGTGCCGTCATTATCATCGACGATCTTCCAAATGTTTTCCTCATATTCACCTGTCAAACAATATGTATTGTGTGAATTTCGATGATTATGAATATATGTTTCAGCGCAATCAACGAATCAATTGACTTGATATTCAATCGTTTCGCCATTTTCATGAGTACCACAACGAGGCTGATACATTACATTTGATACAGTGCATTACATGCTCGTTTGAAACTGAGATTTTGGATCAAATTGAATTTTGAAAAAATTCTAAAAAGCAACAGATAAGATATTTGATATTTATCAAACTTATGATACGATGAACCTAACTTACTGCTTGTTCCGAGCATTTTGTTTCTGTTGTTTCTTGTTCAATTCATGTACCTCAAATATCTTTCAATATGTATTGCTTGTTTTTTTAAAGAAAAACTCATTAAACACAACTATTGATTAGAAGTACCAGGATGATGGTTCATCTCCGAACAGTATAGTAGTATCTCATTTCAATTTATATTTATCGCACATGACTAAACATTGAAATCCATGAATTGTTTTTAGAATTAGAAACTTTTCCTAAATAGGCGCACATAAAATATACCGATAAGAGCATCCTATTCTTTGTTACGAAAAAGGCAAATCATTTGAAAAAATATAAAGAATTCATCTTTTTATATTAGAGGAGTTGTGTTGATAGGGTTTCCTCTATAAGATGACTGAAGTTGAAAGCTGAAAAAAAGAAAAGCACATTTTTATCTTGTGAAAAGACTCCAGCAACTGATTTCAATATAGTGTCTCCCTCTCGAGCTGTTGTCGTTTTAATGACTTTTTGACTCAATGCAAGATATTGTCAGAGAAATTAAAATAGGATATTATAAATCTGAATTCACTCTCTTTATTTTTAAGAATCAACGCTTCCTTGATAATACATTGCCATAGAAAGAAAATCCATTCTAATTTATTTCTTTTAATAACTATAAAACATATATGAATATATTTCAAGCTATAGATTAAGTTCTGACATTTTGATATTAAAAAATAAATTTAAAAAAACTTGAAAACCGACAATATAGTAAAACAACAAGAAAATCAATGTCAAATACTGATTTCAAAGCTCAAATTATACAAAAGATAACAATAGAAATCTTTAATTCTTCTTCGATGATATAATTTCCATATGATTCAAAACTGATTTAAAAGTTAAATGTTCGCAATTTTCATTATTTTTGTATCGTTTTCGAATTAATGTTGAACTAATATCGTCGATATCTGAACTCGATGTATCCATATCATCATCGTTAGCACATACATAAAATACTTTGGAATTACCTTGGGCATGTATCGATGTTATTAAACGATCATCTTGTCCCGGACGATAAACTACAGCAATACCGCCCATCTCAGGCGCTCTCAAGGATTTCATACCGTAGCAACGATTAAATAAATCAAGACCAGCAACATAAATAACTCGAACAGACTTCGGTAAATTTAACTTTTGATTAATAAACACTTGAAGAGTATATGCCACACTTGCTGGTGTGACGAATCGAGGAGCTAGAAAAAGAAAACCATAGCTAAGATATAAATATAATGAAAAATAAATTTGATAAAATTATTTTAACATTTTTACAAATAACGCATCCTCTTAATGTAGTTGTCAGCTGAGTAAAACAAATTTTAATAGATAACTTAAATATTAATTATAAAGATGCATCTTGAGGATGTGGGTATTTTGTTCTTTCATACTCACAAATTTCGATAGATGATCACAGTTCTTATTTTACATTAAACATTGAAATATATGTGCTTATTTTTGATTCAATAAAAATCAATTGACTTACCCATACATTCAGCCATATCAACACTTAACCAATGTTGTTGACCAGCTTCTTCAATAGCTTTTCGACACATTTCAATTCGATGTTGACCATTAATAAATTCATTTCTTAATTTACCGTGAACATATTCATCATGAGTTGGCGATAGATATCCACCGATTACATTAAAATTATATACTCGCTCCAAGTATTGTTTAGTTCGTACCATATTCGATATATGACAACGATGAACAGGATTCATAGCACCCGTCTTGATTAATACAACATATTCTTGATTTGTTGGATGAGATTTTAAATTCGAGTAAAGAATTGACAGGTCGGTCGTGTGTTCAGAATGCATGTGAGAAGTCGAAGAACAAGAAAGAATGAATGAAATAAAATTCATTATTCAACCTAGATATAGTATGTCTGCTTTTGGGTTTTTTCATGGAAGGAATCTTTTCTTATTTTTTCAAATGACTCATAATGTAAATTTTGTAAGATTATTTCAATGGAGTAGAAACATATGTTAAAAACGTTCGCATTGACTACTCAATAGTTTTTCTTCTCTTCTCACGTTTCTGCATCATTTTATGATGTCTATTACTCATTGGCTTCAATAAATAATGACTCATAACTCAACGACAATGTCAACATGCACCATTTTTTCTTTCGAAATCATTGTAATGTGCAACGATTCTCAAAAAAATAAAAACGTCATTATTTGATTGTTTTTCTTCTTATTTATACAAATTTTCAACGAAATTGAATCCATAAACTATGACAATGAAATGAGCAGACATAGTTTGAGCAAGCACTTTCATTTTTCATTGATTTTTCTATTTAATCCATAGAACGAGTATAACATTCACCCATATAAGTTATCTATGATAGTACGCAAAAAAGAATATTTTCTTTTACGTAAGCATATATTATAGTCTTTAATTGCTTCTTTGAAGAATTAATATATCCTTAACTGTGAAAAACAGTTCGATAATTAACAAGAAAAACTCATTAATGTTGAAGCACACAATTTCCGACAAAAAAAAATCATCCATGTCCATAGAAATAAATGAGGTTTCATTTCTCGTCAATATATCTGAAACAAAAAAGAATAATGACTTATATTCTAGGCACTTGAACGACAATAACTTTGCAAAAGAAAGAATGTGTTATGAACTGCGATAAATTCAGTTAACAATCTTGCTAGAGTTGCGTTTTGAATTATAATATGACGTAGTTGAAATGGGATAATTTGTTTTCATAATATTCGTAGCACAAATTTTATTTATTTACAAAAGATTTTAATCTTGCTTTGTAAGACAATATTTTTCTTTTCATATCTCATTTTTCATTCATCTATGGTATTATACGTAGTTTTAGCATTAGTCAACTTTTCTCCATAAGTCATCAAGCTCTTCTATCTGCCGTGTTTAGTGTTATGAGCAGTTATGACTTATACAATTCTTCCGCATAAACCATTAATGATGCTAAGTAATTCATTGTATTTAAACTATATTGTGTTGACTATATTGATAAGTATTCACGAAAAAGAACAGATACCGTTCAGTATCTTGAAAAATAATTCTTTAATTATTGGAATCAATTATATGACTTGATTCAATGCAATGTCTCTTGAAGGCAGACCAACTATCTTTTCAATTTTAGTGTGTGCATCTTGAGGGTGTGAGTGTGAATGAGTGGGTATGCATGTACTAATTTACTTCATCTACACCTACACCCACAGGGCACACCCTCAAACCTGCACACTCCACACCCACACACCCACAGCCATCCACCCATATCCTGCACCCACCCACACCCTGTATGATTCAATATCTCTGTCACACACCCTTAAGACGATAACCGAGATCAATAATTGCTTTCAAATACTTTATCATAAACTCTTGAGAAAGTTAATGAAGTGAATAATTTCCTTCATATACCGCGTTCTCATCAATCCTTCCAGAAAGAGTTGCGAAGGTTATATGATAAGGTTTATGATGGTCATCAATCTTTTTGAGAGGCTTATGAAAGTACAACGTGTAGCGAATCCTTTAAAAGTTTATAAATCGTATGAATTCTGTCACAAACCTTTCAGAATGAGTATTCGAAGTTTATAAACCCCTGATTAAACTCTTTTTCAAAGGTTTCTGAAAGGATTTATGGTCTCCCTAATAAACGATAGAAAAGGGTTATTTATATATTGCACTTTCATAATTCCTTCAAACTTTTTTCATTCTACAATTTTCTTTTACAGTGTATAACTAATACTCACACCTTCATCCACACCCATATCTACTGCACCCATTTACATTGACATCCACGTGCGTATCCTCAAATTTAGCAAAAAACATTGCGAGAAAGAATTCACTGTTAGTGAAATCGAATAGCTCTCTTTATCAAATTAGTGTTCGAGGACCAGAGTGGATATAAGAAAAAGCATAAGATAAAATTTTATCAATCTTCTTGAGATAGTTCATATAATTCTGAAGTACGAAAAATAGCCGTTGTATCTTCTCCACCAGTAACTAACACTTTACCATTTGTTAATAAGGATGCTGTGTGCCAATAGCGTTCACTGTTCATACTAGCCGTCATTGTCCACGCTTCTGTTGATGGATCGTACAATTCGGAGCTATTTAGAGTCGAGATACCAGTATATCCGCCAACAACTAATACTTTTCCATTTGTTAATAAGGATGTTGGGTGTTCAGAGCGCAGATTATTCATAGTACCAGTCACTGCCCACGTTCCTGTTAGTGGATTATACAATTCTGCACTAGATAGGACTGATTTACCATTCCATCCACCAGCAACTAACACTTTACCATTTGTTAATAAGCATGCTGTGTGTACATCCCGTGCGCTGTGCATGCTCCCAGTCGTTGACCATGTTCCTGTTAATGGATCATACAATTCTGAGCTATCTACAGTCCAGTTACCATTCCATCCACCAGCAACTAACAGTTTTCCATTTGCTAATACGGATGCTGTGTGGTAACTGTGTACACTATTCATACTCCCAGTTATTGTCCACGTTCCTGTTAATGGATCATACAATTCTGAACTATTGATGACAGTGAACCAGTTCCATCCACCAGTAACTAAGACTTTACCATTTGTTAATATAGATGCTGTGTGAAACTGGCGTGCATCATTCATAGTACCAGTCATTTTCCATTTTTCTGTTAATGGATCATACAATTCTACACTTCCCAGAATATCGGCACCATTCCATCCACCAGCAACTAGCACTATGCCAGTTTTTAATAAGGATGCTGTGTGCCCATAACGTTTATCAACCATGCTACCAACGCTAATCCATTCTATGAGAATGATTTGGAAAATATTCAGGCGTAAAAGTTAGACATAGTAGGACACTCAAATTGATCTATGCATGATGGAGGTGTTTTGGGATATTGTGAAATGACATGTACCTTTCAGTTTAATCGGAAAAAGTTTAACATTATAAAGGTCTAGAGAATGTGTCAGCTTTTTTGCATGAAATACTTTATCATTGGGCTGAAGCAAGTGTGAAAATGTTACATAGGTGTGTTTAAAGATCTTTTTCATAAGGTGGTTGATGAAAGTTGTACGTTGAATCTGTTATTGTATCCGTCTTATCTATTAAATTATCTTTCGATGATGTACAAACTCACACAGTTATAACTGAGGAAAACGAGAATGCATTGAAAACTAGGAATTTATCCTTGATCGCTCTTTTCACAGTTTCCTTATCTCCACAATTGAAATAGTTAATTATCCAATATATGCGGTATATTCATAATGACCAGAAGAGTTTGCTACAATTATGAATGCAGGATAGCAAAGCTTACTTTAGAAAAAACATTACGCTGGCTTTTACCAATCATTCAAATTGTGGGAGAATTTATAGCCAATCTTCAAGTCGGGAACAAATTATCATAGCACTGGTAATATTTATTCAACAATTGAGAAATTCCTATTTGTCACTTCTTGAATACATTTTACTGTGCTGATTCTTTTTTAACGAAGGTCACTCAACTATATCCATCCAAGTCGATGATTTCTAGCTCCGACAAGAAACCAACTTTTCTAGAAAACTACAGAAAAATTCTGACACTTCACAGGAAAACATCAGAGCGTGATGGATTGTGTAGACAGTATTATGAGCAGAGAAGTCTTCGAATTTTTCTCATGATTTTCGGTCGTTTCTTGCTTGCAAGAACCAAGAAGTTGACTAAAAAAACACCAGGAAAATCGAAAGACTTAACACTTGAGAATATAGTCTCTTGCTTCATCAGTTTCTGGTGCGTTTCTCTTAGAATGAATTTGTATTTCTAGGGTCCGAAGGCTATAATAAGGAAATTGTTTTCCTTCATGTTTCGATAATATGTTGCTGAAGATGAACTACCATAGAAAAATAACTAGATAAGCCTGTTCAATTAAACACAACATTGATTCAAGTAGCAACCTATTTAATATCTGATGGAAATATGAAGTCTAACTTAATGATGCCATGACTCAAGATGACCAAGAATAAGGGAAAATCTATTATAAAGTGTTGATGGAGCTTATTTTTCACACTAACTCAAGTCGACAAAAAATACTCTTTTTTAATGTCGCTTTAGATAACTTATATGCTTTGTAAAACTTAACATCGATAATTACCATTATCAGCTAAATCACGTTCAATATTAAAGTAATTAAATGCAGTAAAACCTCTCTACTAGTATAAGTACCTCTTTATTCTGCGCAGTTACTTTTAGTCCTATACACGATACTAAACTTTTTAATGCAAGCATTATGCTTGATATCATGCATGTAGAGAATGACAAAGATATTGTAATGTGTTTGGAGTTCCAATAAAAAGCTCAAAAAACGTATTTAATAAGGAAAAGCGATTGATTAGACATGTAGATGTAAAGAAAGAAAAAGGAAAATAAACATGAATTGGTGTTTTTTGCATTTTTCTGTTTCTTTTTTTCTATTAAGACTAAAATATATTCCCAAGTATTGCCACCAAATACGGATCTCTCTCTTAGAAAGAATTTTGAATTTAAAAAAGGCTGCAGGCATTCATTGTCAGATGAAGGTTTGCTTACAAAGTTTAGTAGGTTGGCAGGCACTATATCTATTATTTTGAGATGCAAACAAGACTCTCTGATCGATGTTGAATCTAATCAGTAAAAATATGTTACAAGAAATATCAAGAATAATTTCGAACTAAAAATTAATTGCAGTACTTATGAATCATTTGTCGCTTAAAGAGGAAAATATTTACTCATATCTCGATCAACTTTTTGAAAAAAAAGATTTTGTGAAACAGCGAAGCAGTTATGATTAAAAACAGTTTCACGAAAAAATTAAAATGTCTGGCTCGTTAGTATATATATATGGCCAGTCCCAAAGGCATTCGTATTAAAAGTTTCACTAGGTGTAGAACTTTACCATTATTTTACTAGTAAATAGGTAAATAAATTATTTACTATTTACTTTAATGAAGTAAATATACATATTTAATTTGTTCATTCTCATTTAAAAAAATGCATATTATGATTTATCAGCTCGGAAATGATGCGCATCATATATCTTTTCTTATTCAAGTGTATTCTTAGCAAAATTTCTCTTGCAAAAATGGTACGATAATTTGTTTCATATTTATATTGAGCTTTAAGTGATCATTTAACAGTTAATATAATTGAAAACAAGAACCCAACACAACTTAATTCGTCACTATGAACTTTTAGCTTGTCTTACTGACACATATTAAACTTAGCATTAAAAATTTACGTCATTGAACTGAGACAAAAATGCTTCATTTCAGTTTTATCCATCACGAGAAGATATTTTCAAGAAAATAGCTAAAATGTATAAAACTGCACAAAGATTTTTCTCTCAGGGAAATTGACTTAGTACGTAGTTTTTAGAGATACATGATTATAAATACAAATTTCAGTGTCATGAACCCATATGTTTCTATCAACCATGCAATTAGTATCATGTAGTGGTGGGAAAAATATGCAATCGAGAATCAATAATCGTATGCATTATTATGTACTGTCATATAGGATTTGTGGTAATATGTAGAAAACCTACAATTTGAGAATTAGTACATTTTTATGCACAAGACTACTAATTCTCAAATTCTAGGTGTTCTAAACCAGTACAAGATATTAGTCTTGTCACAGTCCATTTGAATTATAAATATTGGTTAATACAAAGCAGGTAGGTCGATTCCTGATCACATACATTTCGTATTTAACAATATCTATGTCAGGAGTAAAAGAATCGAGATATAAGAACATTAGCTTCGGTAGTGAGTGAAGCTGATTGAAAAGATGCATGACTACAATTGGATAGATCTTTTTGATTAGTCAAATTCCAAGGTTTTGGAGCTCATAGTCTTTTAGACTACAATTTGTAGTAGTGTTTACATAATCCTCAATAATTATCTTTCTTTGAGATACAAAATAAATGATCAGAAACTCATGAAGGTACTTTTGCTGAGAGGGTTAATGGAAGACTTCGACAATAAATCGTATCACAAGGGATCTGTATAAAATATTTTTTACATCTTTAGCATTTTGAAAGCATTGGGCCCTAAAAATCACTAATTTTCACATGTATAAACTAGACATTTAAAATCTAAGTGATTTTTCATGTAATCATTGTAATCCACACCCCTTAAGAGTGTATGGAAATTATTTTAAGTGCAACGGTTGATTATTATGCAGTGGTTTTTACAGTGTAGTGAAAAATGAGTGTCCGTTTAATCAAGATACTTGAGTGGTCTTTAAAAACCTAGAAAGCATTGCAAATAAGGCTAAACGATCAAAGAATTGCATCCACTTCATTCCCTCTAGGCTGCGCATGATTAGTTGAGTCTTAATTTCGGGATATGAAGTTTCTTCATTTTTCGAGATATTTGAAGCGCACATTTTAGTTAATTCGTCGACGTAGGTATATGCGAAGTTCAACAGTTTTCAAATATTGAAAGTTTTGTATTAAGCCGCTGTAGGGAGCAGTATTTAGCTATTTAGCCTGTAACTTACTGGTAGTAGGTTTTGTCGTAGTAATTGTTGGTGTCGTAGTAGTTATGGGTTTCGTAGTAGTTATTGGTGTCGTAGTAGTAGTAGTTGTTGTTGTTGTTGTGCCTAAAACCAATCAAAAGTCAGTGCTGCAACAGTCTGCAGAACAATTCATTCGCATTTTAAATAACGATAGAACCCTCACCCTAGACGAACATCTTGTGGTATGCGCATGAGATATTTGAGGTTCTGGAGCAAGAATATCATGCGCTATGGACAAATCTTGAGGCAAGACTTACGGTCCCATTTTAAACTCAAGAGCTTGAATTTCTTATTTCATCGCTTAAACTTCTTACAAGCATGCTTAAGTTCTTCCCCATGCGCGTGTAATATGCTTGAATATTACATATCTTTTCTATTCAGACGTTTTAGTCATTTTTTTGACGTAGATGCCGATACTCCTCAACTGTTTCAATGCCAAAAGTGTATAGGAAGCACGAATAAAAATATAGATACCATGATTGGTTTTCAGGGAAGCAACAGTGACGATAATTGATAGGTACATCGTCACCGTTTCATCGATCAAAACCGATAACTGGTTTTCCACTAGCACTGACTTTGGAAGGAAATTTACTCTTACAATTTCTTAATTTTATTTATTTTAGTGCGGAATATGTTTTCGGGAAAATATTGATTTTCTACAATTTTTGACCGAAGGTAATCTGTATCGGGACATCCAAATCCGATATCAGTTTCCTATAATTCCATATTGAACTTTACAATCCTTGAAAAACCTCTTGTAGGAGTGGGCCAAAAAATAAAGTATACAATTTTAAGAAACTGATTTCAAATTCAGATTCGTCATTCCTGATTACCTTTGGTTAAACGTTGTAGAAGATCAATATTTTCTCGAAAAACACTTTCACTTAGTAAAAAAGTTAAATTGAGAAACTATAAGAGTAAATTGCCGTTCATGGTGAATGGCGTTGAAAAACAGGTTATCGGTGTAGATCGATAACCGTAGTACCGGTTATTATCACTGTTACATCCTTATTGACTTTATTGCAAAAAATATTAATAAGCATAGAGCACAAAAGAAATGATAAAAAACTAAAGGGTTGATTTATTAGATAATGTACAACAGTTATTTGCTCAGAAAACAAGATAAAATGGAGAGCTTAACATATTGTGATGATTAAAAAACCTGATCAATCTTTTGGAGCGAGCAGTAAATTGTAAAATTTTTCATATACCTCTTCACCTTAGATAACTGAAAGGACTCCTAAGCAACATTTG